ACCCGAAGCGTGTGTAGCGTTTCTGTCAAGTTGTCTTGTTACAAGTTTCTTATTCCTGGGATTAGGACAAGGTAAAAAAGGAGGACGATAATTCGTTCAGAAAATCTTGAATTCCCTTCCCTTCGCGTACGGGAGGCGCATTTTCGTATCTCATGTCATACCAAACAGGTCGGTGTGTCATTCTCTAGACTCTTATTCGGAACATATTAGGTTCGACTCTGTGCTGGGATTCTGATTTTCTGACTGAAGGTTTTCGTAACATGCATGTAATGGGTGGTGGGACTACTTACAGGACACTGTCACCTTAAAGGACAACTCTTCAAACTGGGACTAAGTCCCTTGTATTGCGGCGACTTCTGGCCTCCACGGTGAGGGTGATTGTGTAGCAATTGGTGGAAGTATTCGGAGACAACCTGCCCCAGCGCCACTTTGTCCACCACAAATCCCACTTGACTAGACCCGGGATCGAATCCGGGCCAAAATGAAGTGCCAACAGCACGTGGTGTTCCCAAGCGGTTACCCATAGAAGTACTAACCACGACCATTGCTGCTTAACTTCGGTGATCGGATGAGAACCCGTGTTTTCAACATGGCCTGGCCTTTGGCAAAGTTAGAGTAAGTGGTAGTCCCACTTGTGAGAGGTGTCAAGAAGAAAATGAAACAGCCACACATATCCTGTGTGAACGTAAGGCCGTAGCTTATTTAAGATTACGTCACTTGGGTCAGTACTTTATGGAACCAAGTGACTATTTTGACGCCCCCACGTCCAAGATCCTGCGCTTCATCCGAAGCGTGGGTTTGCTGAGGGGATAATCAAGAGGGGAAGCACAATAGACCACTGTAGGTCGCGGTGTAAGGGCCGAGAAGGCCCACCCCTTATACATTCATTCATTCATTCATTCATTCAAGATATATGTAATACGTATTATGTCATGATTTTTTTTTCCGAAAATCAGCAAATCAATCAGATCAACTCCACCTCATGACTAGAATTTGTTTTTCCTCTGTTGGTACCGTAAGGAGTATTGCTTCACCTCACTGATGATTTCTGTTATGACAGTTCTATGGTGCAAGTCCTTATGCGTGTAAATATTTTAATAATATAATGTTTTTAGCTCTCGCAGATGGTTTATGCTAAGCTTGGTTTCTATACCCCATCTTGGTGCTGGTACAGGTGTCCAGAGATAGGAGCTAGCTCTATCGATTAGTGCAAACAGAATAGGTTTTACCTGAAAACGGAGACAGAATCCAGTCTCCGAAACGTTGTGTTTTGAAAAATAAACAGGACTGTGTTCTTAGATGAAGACAGGGAGATGGATATTACCCAAAACATAATATTTGTACTAATGTACTATCGTCACAAAACCTTAGATTTTATTTACTGAATATTCTGTTGAAAAATAAGTCACTTAATTGTATATTAATTTGTAGCTTTCACTGGCTTAACCATATGGATTGACATGTGAATGAAAATGGGCATCTTAAGTTTTTGCCATAATTTCTTGCTAATATCCGGCTGATGCAATCTGAATACAATCCGAAATATCAGGACATGTAATTTAAATACTGTACAGTCTTCAAGTGTACATCGTACAAATGGGGTCAGAAATACGGGTGTATGAGATGAAACATGGCGACAAATCTTCACACTAAAAGTGGTTATGTGTGATAGATACATAAGCAGTATTTCCAGCAATGCAACAAAGCTTCATATATATGCCATTGTTATTTTAGCAACATTCTAAAGTCGGTGTCAGCAATAAAATTAATAATACTTTGGTCTGTAGTCCGCAAGCGAACTATGCAGACCGAGCGACGGCCTCCTGTCGGCGAAGTTAGTGTAAATTTTTGCGGATAGTGGGCGTCGCGTGGTCAGCGCAACAAATCCCCACGGGTGTTAATTTCGGTTTTCTAGACCGGATACGCTATTACCTTGCAATAGCTCCTCAATTACCCTCACGATGGTGAGTGGACCCCGTTCCAGACCCACTGCTTCTCAGAACATCTGGTAGCGAATTGACTCGAACTCGGGACCTCTGGATCTGTAGCCAGGAACTTTGACCACTAGACCACAGAGGCGGTCCAACCCCCTTATCCTATTTATTTAAAATCGGTTTTACTATTTTGGGTCAGGTGTTTCCACAGCGGTAACTAGAACAGTCCTGTCTTCCGAGACGTACTTCTTGTAGCCGTGTGAAAGTCATCCAACGTTTCGGAGAAACATAGCTTCCATCTTCAGGGTCTAAGAATAAGCCAAACAATAAACCAGTATGAAGCACGTAGCAAGCTTACACTCGACCCTGAGGTTGGAGACTATGTGTTCCTCTGAAACGTCTCTTGGCTTTCACCGGACTACGCGTGGTCATATACCAGAAGATAGCATTTTCAGATTTTATTGTTGTCCTTTAATTGCCCCTAAATCTTCAAACTCGTCTGTTCCCTGAAGTTTCCCACTAAAATTCTCTACGCGCGTTTCGTCTGTGACGTGCATCCTATATTTCCAGCTTATTTCCTTCTGCCAAAATTCATCTCCTTAATCGCATTTGGTAGCCGGTCACGGTATCCGAGCGGTCTAAGGCATGCACTGTCTTCGCTCGCTTGGAAACCGGGATCGTAGGTTCGAATCCCACTCAGGGCATGGATGTTTAGTTTCTGTGTGTGCGTTTTTCTGTGTTTGTGTACAGGTAGAGGCCTTGCAACGAGCTGATCACCCGCCCAAGGAGTCCTACCGAATGTGAAAGATCTAGAAAAACCGAAGTGAACGGAGAAGTTCATGGAGGTAGGCCTAGGGCCACTGGGGCTGTATGCCAAGAGAAAAAAAAAAGCGAATAGTGATGTTTCCACACTGGGGATTACGTAACGCGCCTCCACCCACATAAACTAGGTTAATGGGACGGTTTTAAGCGTGAAGAAGTGACATCGGAAGGGGAGCATGACCGATGGATGAAGTCACGCATATTTAATGCTTTTGCCTTATTATAACATGTGTTTCATTTTTGTTCCAGCCTTGATTGTTCAATAATGGCTAGTTCTGAAGTGAACATTCTGCTTTCATACATACACCATAAGCATAGGATCCGAGTTGCCAGTAATGCCTGGTTCCCCCTAAGTTATCCATATTTACGCGAAACCTACCCGGGCAGGACTCCCGACTATCCTGACTGAGCCTCTTCGTGTTTTTTCTCAGTTCCTGAAATTTGATGCCAGAATAGTGCCTTAAATCATGACACCACCGCTTTTTTCCCACGTTCTTTCAATTCATAATTCACTGTCACCCAATCTAGCGACGCTGTGTAGTCATAAGTTACTGATTCCGTGGCCTGTAGTCCGGAACCGAACTATGCCGACTGAGCCACCGCTGCTTGTCGGCGAAATTAGTACCAACTTTAGCGGATAGAGGGTGTCTAGTGGTCAACGCAACGGATCCTCACGGCCGTTAATTTCGGTTTTCCAGACCGGACATAGGTTACTGACAATAAGAATTAGATTGATGATGATGATGTAAGGAATTTTAAGGAAGCTGTCTCCGCTGAATGTGATAAAGGCCAGCCGTGACCCATCAGTAAATATCCCAGAATTCGTTCGTAATTTTTATTTTTGTGTATTACAAAAACGTTCGTGAAATCTAAGAAGCTAAGGCAGCGTCTACGCGAACGCACAAAATGCGTCCGTTGTAACGAACGTCGTGACGTCCGTTGTAGAAATAAACAAGAGAGGCGAATTAGGCGCGCTGTCTTGGATTTCACCAGCATTATCCGAGACTCCGTCATGCAACACAGCCCTTCACTCGCACTGCTAAATGAAGATGTATGGGGCAGTGGACGTAGATCTCCACGCATTCTTAATATCGGTTCCGGTTGAATGTCAGTAGAAAGCTGCACTCTCCGCCTGCCTTACTCTTACAAAAATAGCCCCTCCAGTATCATCAGACAATGATCTTTGACCCTGTCAGGAATCGTACTCCTAGCTAGTCGCGTTAACTAAAATTATTCTGGCTAGTTTTGCAGCGTGGCGTATTTTAATCAGGAAGTGACAAAACTTCCCTCTCTAGGCGCACAGTCCATGTCATGCCATGTGGCGCAGTTCAGATATTTGGGAACGACGATAAATCAAAACCTTATTCAGGAGGAAATTAAGAGGAGATTGAACTTGGATAATGCTTGCTACCATTTAGTCCAGAACCTTTTGTCTTCTTGTCTGCTGTCCAAAGACAGATATTAGAATATGCAAAACTATAATTCTGCCTGTGGTTTTGTATGGGTGTGAAACTTGGTCTCTGACTTTAAGGGAGTAACATAGACTGAGGGTGTTTGAGAACAGGGTGTTGAGGAGAATATTTGGACCGAAGGGAGATGAAGTGACAGGAGGTTGGAGAAAACTGCATAATGAGGAGCTTCATAGTTTCTACTCTTCTCCAAGTATAATTAGAATGATCAAGTCAAGGAGGATGAGATGGGCAGGGCATATAGCACGAATGGGGGAGAAGAGGAATACATATAGGATATTGGTGGGAAAGCCAGGTGGAAAGAGACCACTGGGAAGACCAAGGTGTAGGGTGGGTTGACAATATTAAAATGGATCTTAGAGAGATAGGATGTGATGGCATGGATTGGATTGATCTCACTCAGTATAGGGACCAGTGGAGGGCTCTTGTGAACACGATAAGGAACCTTTGGGTTCCATAAAATGCTGGGAAGCTCATGAGTAGCTGCACAATTGGTGACTTCTCAAGAAGGGCTCGGCTCCATGAGTGAGTGGGTGAGGGAGTAATAAGATTTTGCATAAAAGTTCAATAGCTAAAATTCTGATCATTGTGTTATTTTTAAAAATAATGTAGATCATGGATTTTGACAATTTTTTTTCCTCAATTTTTTTTTTTGCTTCTTTTCAACCTTCCCCCACATTCGCGTGGCACACCTGCGGACCCCTCGCTTGCTGCTTTAGTCAGTAATGATCTTGACTGTCCCATTTACTAATCTGCATTGGCTTTTTATCTCCAGGCCTAATGTGTGTGTGGAACGTGAGGAGATAGATGAAAGCCAACATCACAACCGCACAGGAGAAACTTCGAATACAGATAGTGATGAAGAAGAAGGAGGTGTTTTTGGATCTTTCCAATTCTCCAGTTGCCAACAGACAGACATAAAGTATACCTGTACCACCAAGTAAGTATCAGGAGTACAGCTTAGTAAGCAGTTTTATCATCAAGATTTTGGGCATAAGGAAAATCATTTGGTATATGAGGACACATTTGCTTTTGTGCTCTACACTTTTTATATTTTATGCAGAAAGTATATCACTGTTATTAGAAATAATAGAGTACTCTGTCCTGCATAGATTTTTCTATCTACTAAAAATAAAGAAAAATTTGTAAAATATTAAATCATATAAAGTAAGTACCAGGATTCATTTTGATATAGATCTTGGCCAGGATAGAGCTGAATTCACTGTGTGCTGCCTTGAGTGATCTTTCTGTAATCACTGACATCATTTTTATCATTCACAGAATTGTTATTTCTGTTTTATTTACCAATAATCTCTGATGCTTCTTTATTAACACATTTTGCTGCTAATGCAATTTAAGTTGAATACAGCCCTCAAGTGTCAGCTTCATATATAACATTCATTAGACAATGTTTCTTGTGACAGAAATGGATTCATTTTGACACTCTTTAACACTGTCTCTAGTTTGTGAGGTATGTTTATCATCTGTTAACATTCATGTTAGCTTAATCTGAAGTCATTGGTTGATGCTGTACTGCCCCCCCCCCTCAATTTTTGGGGTAGTAATGGTAGCAGTGATTAAGATTATAGCAGGAATTCTTTTAATATTTTTCAGTTCCAGTCTATTTAACCAAGTAAATTACCTCAGAAGTCTACAGATATGCATATTGATGTTCATTTTGTAAGGTTTAAAAGTTCTTAGTGGGACCACAGAAAAGCTCTAGAGATTTAATTTGCCTTAAATATTAAAAATGTGTCCTGTAATCATCGTTACCAAGAATTTGGGGGTTCATTTACTAAATTAATTAAATTAAATTTTCCAAATGTATATGTGAGTATGAGAAGTAATGCTGCTCATTATCTGTGACTCTCACATCTGAGCCACTGCTGTGAAATATTGGTTCATGAACGTACAGGTTAGTACAATTTCTATGAATTCAAGAAAGAAGTGTTTGGCTTCTCATGGGCACATTTTGAATCAGGTAAATTTATTTTTGGGAAAAGCTAACTTAAAAAAGTACAAAGTCATGTCATAATTGACAACACTTGCTTTGGAAACAAAGTCATGCTGCTTTGCAAAAATATATAGTATTTGGGTGAGAGACATTCAGGTCTTGAGTCTGTTGCAATGTACAGAGCCAGAAGTTTACTTTAGTCTAGAAGTTAAGCAACAGAAGAGTACATTTTGATGTATGGTCAGTTAAATTGCCGATGTCCCATGCCAGCCCAGTAATTCTTGGTTTTGAGTCCCATTGGAATACATGAACAAGATTTATGTTCTGTCATAGACATGTATATGCTTAGAAGTGGGACCTCCTATGCAGTGAGGGGGGAAGGGGGGATTCTGACTACTACTGGTCTCACTGCTGCTACTGGGGTGACTTGAGTGGGCACTCTCACTAACTGGCCCTCTCTTCCACACACACACACACACACACACACACACACACACTCACACACTCTCTCTCTCTCTATTTTCTACTGTCATCCATCCTTTGATGTAAGGTCATGAAACTTTTATGTTTTACTGCACAGGATTCGTAACCATGGAATCCGCAAGACTTTCATTGTGAAGTATCAGTGCTGCCATGGCTTTAAGCGAGTTGAAGGAAAACCAGGCTGTACAGAGGGTAATAAAAATTAAAATTTGTTATACTCTTAACCTCTTGTTGTTAAGAAACTGTATATTTGTAACCCACTACTATGGTAATTTAGCCACAAAAACAGTTCAGTAGACAGCAAATATTTCTAAACACTCCAGTCAAAACTTGGACTTTGTCCACTGTCTGATTTTCTAAAAACCACCAATTGCCCCACAATCACCCTCACCTATCATCTTGGGCTGGTACAATAGGCCAGAAGTGGTCGCAGTGCAAGGGACTTAGTCCCATCCCACTAGCAATAAAAAAAATAATACTTCTGAAAATGAAAGTACTTTATCCTTGTTATTCGTAATGTACTAATAGCTTCTACAAATTCTTACTTCAAGAAATTGAAATCCCATTTAATTGTCAGTTTTTTGTTTTCAGTGTTTTAAATTCACATCTGAAGAGAACCGTGAGACATGTAAATAATTAAATCGGGTGTATATTGATGGCAATATTATTATAAAAAGGTTCATTACTTGTCTTGCAGTCCATCTGAAGAGCCTGCTGGAAACAGCAGCTGATGTAGGAGGAAAGGATTTTGTCCAGTTAGTCCGCACTTCCGGTCTGGAAGAAAAGACAACTGCCAGCAATTTGACACTCTTTGTTCCATCAGATGATGCTGTTCGTGACTTTACCGATAATTTGCAGGAAGCAGTAAGTATATTGTTCATTATAGAGACTCCACATCAATATAAGACAGACCATGATATTTTTCTGAGTTCTTGCATGTTACTTTCTTTATGTAGGTTCTTATTCAGGAAAACATGTGATGTATGCATTTTTATTTGGAATGATTTTTCAGTTCTAAGGTTCTTTTTATGGTTTTATGAACAAAATAGACTTTACCTACTCTCTCTTCATCCATAACTGTTTGTAACTGGACTGTGATTGAGATTAGCTCTTTCTAAGGGGCCCAACTGAGTAGGTGTCTTCCTTTCTCACCTGAAGATGGAAACAGATCCAGTTTCTGAAACATCATGTCCTGTTTTTCCTAAAATTCTGGACGATGGGAAAAGTCCAAAACCCCAGTAATTCTGTGTTATCCACCATTGTCAGAACCCTTTAGAATCTAAAAGAAAGTAAGACAGGTTAGATTGTTTTCCTTCCATAGTAATCTTAACATATTTGAAGAGTGCGTAAGAATTCATTACAGACATCTTTTCAACAATATTATTAACCTCACAGTTGTAACTACTATGTTGAACTGAAAAGATGAACAATACTATGAAATTTTCATTTCATGCATCCTGTTCAATAATATGTAGTTTAGAAAAATTACTATATGATTTAAGTAATGTTGCTTGATAACAGGGTATAGGATGCAACTTAATTGAGGATAGGCTTATGTAAAAACGGTGCATATGGTATATTTGCACACCTTACTTTCTGTAATCCTACTTGTAATGAGTCTTGGAAAATGCTTAAAACATTTGAAGATCTAAAATTTTTAATGGAAATGGACACTATTACTGCCCTGTGCAGACACAGATTTTGTGCAGAATGCAAGACAGGAATTCTGCTGTAATAAGAATTAGGTTAATATGTGTGAATGAAGGAATGAAATAATATATATATATATATATGCAGATAGTAACCACTCATTCAGTTCTGCAATGAAAATAACCATGCACTATTTAATGGAAGTTCAACTTATCTGGTTTTGAAATTTTATGAGCATATCACATTTAAATATGTTCCAGAATCAGGTAGAATTCTATGTTCCCCCTGCATCCGCACGCAGGCGACGTGAAGCTGGTATGGAGGGTACCAGTATGCGGGACATTGTTCTGGGCCACATGGTTCCGGGTCTCTATGACATGAGTGAGCTTGTAAATGAACAGGTACATACAGATATTAATTTATGAATTGTATGAGAATTAATACATTTTTCAGGAACCACTCGTGTTTCTTGCGCAGACATACATTCATATCTACGCTATTATATAGTAGTGGATTCACTTTCATGGAATGTTTGACCGTTCTTTGCACACACATGCCCAACAGAAAAGTAGTTAGTGTTGATTTGGTTATAATTACATTGCTAGAAAATTTCTGCCACACACAATTTAAAATTTATTGGTGAAATTAATATAAATGGTGTAAACATATTTTAAAATTTAGATTAGGTAAATGCCAGTGCTATACTGTTTGGCTGTATTCAGACATCTGCATATGAGGTGCAACCCAAAAGTTTACAGGCTGATTTCTTTTATTCAGGCTATATGGCAGTGTGAGAAATTTGCAACTGTGACAAGCATTTCCATGAGTAGTAAAGATAGGTATCATGGTGTACATTGTAAAGATGAGAGACAAGAGTTTTTGGAAAAGAATTTATCATAAAATTTGTGTGAAAATGTTATGAACTTGTGTATTGTTATATGATATGTTATAAGTGACATATGGTGATAAGGTCACACCTGATTTTTGAATGTTTTGAGATGTTTAAAGATAGTAGAGAAGCATGAAAATTGATGAAGAAGTGAGTGACCAGATGTGCCAGATGAAAATGTTTAGACAGTGAAAGTACTACTTTTATGGGCTTAGGAACTGTCAAGTAATGGTGTAATATTCTAATGTGTCAAAATAAATGGCACTGGATGAAAACATTTTAATGGCCTGCTTAAATATGAAGGTTTGTATAAAAAAATATTCCAAAAAATAAAGATCGTATCAGGCTCACCATCACTGTTAATGAAACTCAAATTCTTTGCTATGACCTATAGACCATGTGTTCTCAATGGAAATCTAGATTTGTATAAAATTTGAAGCTTTCACAGCTAATAAATATTCTAAAATCTTCTTGAGTTATCAGTTGTATCAGTGTTAAAATATCAACTTCAAATTTGTGGTTATTTGAGAAGATTTTAGTATATCTCCTAGTTCACTGAGACCTGAAGAGGCACATACATTTTACCCAAGTCAGTCGGTATAACAATTTTCATGTGTTTTTCTGACTTCCAAGGAACTGTTTAAACACAGTTTGTTTTGAATGCTAGATGAAGAAGTAGGTGCTATATTTGTACGTTCTTTGGCATCTGAAATATGTAATTTATTGGAAAGGGCCAAATGTTTGACTAGATTGGTGAATTCTTCACCATTGAAATGCTCCAATGCATTATGCTATATGAATAAAGGAGTTTGGCCAAGTTTCGTAAGCATCAGCAACATGCACCAACAGCTTCTGTGTACTTCTCAAACTAAAGTTCAGATTTTTTGTTATGACTCAGTTGAAAAAAGCAAAAAGCTTACAAAATGTGGGCACCCAGTAGGATTTTAGAAGGTATAAGAAACTTTTTCATGCTATAGCAGTACTACTGGTTCGATTGTATAGATGTTAAAAAAAATTGTTTTACCTCTTTTTTTCTTTTATATTTGTTCAGGAATATTTGGTTTGCACCTCATATAATTCCAGATTTTCACTTGAAATCTTCTTTTCCAAACATAGTTCTGGAACAAAAAACTAAAATTAAGATAGATGACTCTTGGGCCAGGGATATTTGAGTTATCATTATTTTATGGTAAACATGTATTTTGTTCACAGTTTCTTAAAGTGCAGCTTTGATTGGTGCTGCTATCTTTGCAAGATATTCAGAACTATGCCATCAGTATTAATTTGAAATTTAAGATGTATCTGCCTTTAAATTGTGTACTGCATCACTTTTTCACTTCATTGAACAGTATTTAATAGTCTGCTCCAAGGGGTTAGATTTTAGGGACCAGTGTTTTGATGGACATTATTCCCTTTAGGTTCTTTACAGTGACAATGCAAACAGCTCTGTAAGAGTGAACTTATACGCTGTTCCTGGTGAGAGACTGATGACAGCAAATTGTGCAAGACTCACATCTATCAACAACTATGCAGAAAATGGTGTTGTGCATGTTGTGGACCGAATGATCCGTCCCGTCACTAAAACACTTGCTGAGCTTCTTGCACAGGATAGCCAGTTCTCTATACTGAGATCCTGTAAGTTACTTTAACTCTGCTGCCTTCAGTAACAGCTGTGGTCAGTACTGTTCTTTTACTAAACATATTTGTGAAATTAAAATTGTTTATGAGACCTCAAGTGTCACAAGTTTTTTAGTAGTTTGCATTATCAAAAATATGCACTTCCATTGATGTACATCTTCCTTTTGCAGTGCTCTCAAAAACTGATCTGCTTCAGACATTGAAGGAACCTGGTCACCTGACCATTTTTGCTCCAACAGACTCTGCATTTGAGAAGCTGGATCCAACAGTACAGTCTCGATTACTACAAGGCGAGGCATGCGTTGGAAGTAAGTCCTTTATTTAGACACATATCTTGAAAAAATTACAGGAAGAATGAGACTGTGTGATCTTACATTATTACATGAAAGATATTTTAAACTGTGTGGATGCGGAATATGTTTATTCCTTTGATTATCAGGTTTCCAAGAAATAGTCCATATTATGAACAGACATTTTGGATTCTCTTCCCAGTATCATCATGGAAGCACTATTCTGATAAACTATCCTTGATATTTTCTCCTAGTTTTACAGTTTATTTCTTTAATAGTGGAAATCTCTTGTGTCTGGTAACACTGTTATGTGGTATATGATGAGCTGGGATATAATTACATGATTTTCTTGTCAGTAACTGCCATGTTGAAGTTGAGGCAGAAAAAACCTATACAACTTATTGTGAGTAGCCAAAACTATACAAATAATGTCAACACTTTCTTATGGACAAAGTGAAATGTTACTGATATGAATATATTTCCTAGAGTCAGCACAACATGCAGTTTTATTGCTCATTCAGTGTGTTACAAATTTTGATGTAAATGTGGCAGCATCAGCCCTGACAACTGAATATAAGGGTCTGATGCTGCACTTGTGTTCATAACATGTAACCCATTAAAAGAGCAATAAGTTATATGTTGTGTTGACTGTAAAAAATATACTCCTATCAATAATAATTACAACAAGATACAACCATAGAGAGTGAAACATTAAATCTGTGCTTTTTATTGTATATATGTATATCTAGTAAAATGTCCATATAATGAAATTCAGGAAATGAAAATCTTTTTCATTCTATTCTATGTAAGCTCTTTTTGTAGATGTTGTAGGTGAGTTGTGTGCTTATGTAGCAGGAAACTACAGTCTTAAACTGATAGGTATAAATGTGATCTTATAAGCATTTACAGTTTCTTTCATCTTGCTTCTAATGAGGCTTGTAATATCAATCTTTTGCACTTGAACCTAAACAGTGTCAGGTATTGGCCTCATAGGATTATAATATAGTGTAACGTGTTTGGACACTGATCCCACTTCTGACACCAATGTAACGTGTTTACGTTACTGAAGATGCCGTAGAGATGGTTAATTGGTTTATTTAACAATCTTCAAATAACGGCTACAATTAATGATAACAATGTTACGGGTTTCCGCTCTTTACAAACCCTAGAACGAAATCTCTTTTAACACTCTCTTCAAGAGTCTTCACGTACTAATAATGCAGGAGCTATACAAGTCTCCCTGAATTACACTCTCCAGATATGACTGGTGATCACTGGTTATCGCACATGTGGCTGTAGCTCGTAACTTGCGAACTGAGAAGTCGTTGATAACGCACTCGGCGACTGTCACAGTACAATTCGGAAATGTCTTCAGTACAACTGAAGTCGCCGACTGCTACAGTAGAACTGACTGTGAATAGCCTTCGCTGCTCCCTATGTAGCCTCGATCGGACAATACGGCCACGTAATAGGCACCCTTGTTGCCTGGTGCTGTGTTGCTAGCAACGCAAGCGGTAGTAACCGCTGTTACTACCGTAACAATCCGGTTGCGTCACCGTTACGTTACCGTGCGGAGGAGGGGGAGGGGAGCGCTGACTCACCCGCCGCGTCACTGCTGGTGGGGGGGGGGTTCTCCTTTGCACAACATGTCACAATAGGAATAAAATGCATCAAACTGACAGTGTGTTTTGCCAAGACTATAACTTTTTTCCAGATTGAGGATAAAAGTATTGTACTTGCTGGTGTCACCTTTGACAATTAATTTCTGAGGCTCATAGTTTGAAACCTCCCATTTTTGGGGGGTACATCCAAGAGATAGTATAGTAAAATGTGGCATAACTTTACTGGAATGTTATATTGTTGTGACTCATGATGTATAAATGTGTGGTACCCCCATATCAAAATGTTTCTCTTTCAATGGTTTGTTGAGTGCAACTACTCATTTCTAGATGTTCTTCGACATCACCTGGTAAAACATTCTGTGTGTTCTGCTGCAATTTCGAGTCGCCTGATGACCATCAATATGGATGGTGATACTTTGACTCTAGAAAGAAGACCAGATGATGGAAAATTGTTTGTCTCTGGAGTACAGATTGTTGCCAAAGATGTAGTTGGAACTAATGGAATTATCCATGTTATTGATGATATCATTATGCCAGACTCTGGTAAGTACAGGAACGGTACACCCTGAATTCTGTTCCCAGCTTTGGGAAAATGTTAGAATCATTAAGAAGTTTTGTGGTTAGACTTTCTTTTTACAGACACAGACTCCAAAATGACAAGGGATTTCTTAAATCTGTGATTGTAAATTTTATTTAATCGTGCCTTGAAATACCATGTTCCTATTGTCTGGACAGTTCAGAATCACTTGTTAAAGATAAATGCTTCATTTATACAATTACTTTAATATGCTAAGATTGTAGGACATAATAATATTAATTATACTAATACCAGGTGGGACTTCAAATATTTTTGGGAACATAATTCGAATGGCAATGAACCCACATTATTGCAGGTAATGTAATACATTTTTATGTATATGCAAACATAAATAAGTAAATATAAGTAGCAGCGTCCTCTAGTATCATGCTGGTGATATATCTTTTTATCAGAGTGGAGTATAGAACATCTTTACATATCCTAGGAGTTGATTCGTACATAAATAATCCTGTACTGAACAGAATACGCAGTATATCTGTCTGTCATTCATTCATCCATCCATACTGTCAGCAAAAAATTCAGTAAACTGAAGTGAAGTGAAGTGTGTTAAGAATGGGAAGGTTATGTAAGTGTAGTAAAGCGAAATGAAGGGAAAATGAGAACATAACATTATGTATTCATTACCATTAGTTTATTATATAGTATGTTTCACTTCTCTACTAATGTTTGTGTGCTGTTTTTTTTTAACATGTTATGTGTATTATTTGTCTGTTGTCTTCTTGTGGTAATGTGTGTTATTTGTCTGTTTTATTGTAGTACCACTGCCACTATGTGAAAACCCATTTGCAATTAAATAATTATAATAAAAATAATCATTAGCAGGCAAGGACTGAGATTTCTGGATGAAATAATATGTTTAAGAATCAAAGTGGCAAAACTAAACTTGATATTTTTTGTAGCTCTCATTAGTTCCTTGAAGCAATTGAATGTATGATGGTACCATACCTTAAGAATACTTCTGAAGCCATATGTGATTAATTCCATCATTTTAAAAGAAGATCCAAAACTAATGTGTCACAGTCTCATGAACTATTCAGTATTTTTAAAAAAAGGACTGATGTTCACTTAGGTCTAGCATTGTTTGATTAAAGTGAATAATTTTCAGCTCGGCCAGTCACTGGAGTGTTGTCCAGTCACAACCTGACTACATTCTTGGCACTTCTGCGTGAGGCAGGATTGGCTGAATCCCTTGACTCAATGAAAAATGTTACATTGTTTGCCCCAACCGACGAAGCCCTAGCAAGACCTGAATCAGCAGCTGAATTGGAGAAGCTCAGGGCTGACAAAGATAAGCTTCGTGACCTGCTGCTCTACCACACAACAGGACCTGAGGTGCAGTCATGTGACTTCTCAAATGATAAGGAACTCAAGAGTAGCCTTGCTGATAAGTCTATTCGAATCAATCTGTACGCCACTGTAAGTATGAGGCATGTTTAAATTTAACTCTTTTGATGCATATTATTTTCTTACAATTTTCCTACAGTAATGCAATTTGAAGGTAAATCAATTTAAAAAATGCAACAAAAATACCTTTTCCTAGCCTAGTGAATGAAGTCAAATGATGGAGTGAAAGGAGAGGACCACTTCCTGGTGTGAACTAAAGTCAGATAAGATAATGGATGCTTGTTTAACTTCAGCTGAATATCACAGCAGTAGGGTTAATGTACTGTTGTAGTCATGTGAACTATAGAAACGAAGATTGTACATATATATTTTTAACTGGACTTCATTGCAGACCAACAGTTTAATATGTGCAAGAAGTTGATTGTTGTTGTTGATTATACAGTAGAACTTGGTTATAACGTCATCAAAGGGACATAAAAATAGTGTCGTTATAAACGAATGTCGTAACCGAAATGGGCACTTCCACAGTAGCCTTATGTTAGTCACGTAAAAATCTACCAAAAACCGAGTTAAAATGTTGCATTTTTTAGTGAAATACGTAGTTAAGTACAGACTAACGTAACATTAACGCGGAATTGCCCAAATGTGTAATTTCACTGACAATACACAAAATATTTCATGAATCACTTTAACTTTCTCTTCAATGCTTAAAACCTTCCTTTTCATTGCCATGTTTTCGCTACTGCACTTCTCTGGGTTTAGGCAGGAACACTATAGGGTAAGTAGACAATGTGAGGTCCTGTTAGACGAGATTCTAGGAAAGGAATGCAGTTAACAACCTGCCACGTCCTCTTGCACTATTCACGCAGTCCCACCCCACACCCTTGTTTTCTCATGAAACCCACGTTCCTCTTGCTGCCCACGGTCGTATTCTTCCAGGACAGTCACGTCAGCAAGTAGAGAAAGTGAGGGTGGGCAGACACATCGAACTTTCCCACGATATCAGAGAAATTCAGGAATGAAAATGACGTTACATACGAGGTTGATGCATTTGTGCATGTCGTACTAAGCAAGGTATAAAACCAGTTGCTTTATGAGGAATTAGTTCGTGCCATTGAATATTTGACGCAATAGACAAGGTGTCGCAGAAACCGATGTTGCTATAACCAAGTTTTACTGTATTATCATCATCATTTTAATTGTCTGAATTGTGCTGATCATCAGAGCTACTTATGGAGCTGAGCTCTTCCTGAGAAGCCACAAATTGTGAAGCTACTCAAGAGCTTCCCAGCATCTTATAGAACCCAAAAGGTTCATTACTGTGTCCACAAGAGCCCTCCACTGGTCCCTATCCTGAGCCAAATTGATCCAATCCATGTCCTTTTCCTTTTGCTTAGGTCGTTTATCCTAAGAATCTATCCAGGTCTGAGGCTTCTTGTGATCTTTCATAACAAGCTTATTTTTTATGGTGAGGAGTTGTTAGCCTCGAGCCCCCCCCCCCACCTNGAGGACCACCCCTTGTCACCTCTCCACGACTGCTTATTCCATATATTCGCAGCTACGCTCCATATCTGGAGGCTGTCCCCTCCATCCACAACCTGAGGACACACCATGAACTGGTGACAAGGGGCAGGGCAGCAAAATTTAAGTATTGACATATTTACATTGACAGCATTCTGACAGGACTGGAAAAGTAAACAGTGTTCACTTAACAGGTGTGTTTGGTAAAAGGAATTATAATTGTAATAATTACCACCATGATGAATATATCCGTTATAATAAACAAACATTAATCTGACATGCAACTGTGCATTGTTTGGTCATGTACTAATTGGTAAAACGTCAAAACTATATACTCAACATATAAACAGTCAGCATTAAGGCTTTAATGTTCACTGTTATTATATATACTAAATGAAAATTCAATCAGTAAAAAAATGTTTTATTGTTAAATATATGCTTCAAAGTCATGTTGTAATATAGCAGAACAACACTAAACAAAAAAAAAAAAATCTGATTTTAATACAGTCTAAACTCAATCAAGACTTTCTTTTGTTTTTTCTTAATTGTGGTTGCATTCTAAAGGCTATAATTGATTGCTGAATTTCCAAGTTCAGAAACATATTCCTAATATCCATTTTTTTAAATTATTTTAAAACTGTATAGAGAAAATGTATTGGACAAAAAATGTGTATTTCATTCTTATTTATAACGTTTGTTAGAAACATTTTTCATGTCCAATAAATATTTAGTGAGATATGCATAAAAATGCACATGGGTCTTAATGAAAAAGTGGTTGTTACTCTTGTATAATCTAAATGAAAATTTACACAACTTGGTGAATTTTCATTAAATTTTCAAATATAAAATGTTATCAAAGCCTATCCTGCAATTCACAAGTTTCATATATGGACTGACTGCACAAACATAATACATATTCCACAGGGTTGCTAATGTTCCTACAGTGGCAGGAGCCTACCTTAGGACAGATACATACAGATTACTGCTTCAGCATGCTTCTGTCTGAAATACAAAGTGTCTGAGAGTTAATTTTGTGACAGATGAAGTCATACAGTCATTTTACATCTAATTTCTTAACAGTGCATGTATGAAAATTACCGAAATCTGCTTTAAAAATTCATATCGAAAGATGAACCCACAATATTTTGGAGTGTCCCATTCAGTTTTGTCTTCCAGTTCAGTTGCAATCCACTGTACTCCATTTTAGATTGTAATATGATGCTTATATTGTAATTTAGATTTATTTATATCTTTGCTTTGGATACATATAATAGGCACTGGCTTAATTAAAACAATGATATCACATTTTAATATTTTTATGCTTCAGAATATGGTGTTAGTAGTGGTACATGTAGGTTTGTGCATGTATTATTGTTAATTTTTACATATGTTTCATGTTACAGTTGCCATTTTTTACTGGTGCAATTACAAGGGCAACTGCACAATGTGCACGACTAATCAACTTTGACAATCGGGCATGTGGAGGAGTTGTTCATGAAATAGACAAGTTACTGGTACCACCTACTGGATCCATCCTGCAACTTATTGAAAAGGAAGATAACTATACTTTGCTCAGGAAAATCATTGAGGTAAGTATTGACATCCAATGGTATAATCAAAACTACAGAAAAATTCAGGATTTTAATATAATTTACCTTCCAGTATCAAGATTGTTATTCTTTCTGTGAAGATCTTAGTTACAATTTTAATGTAGAGGCATGTTTGTTATTTTATGTCCTGCAATAAACACATACATTTTAAAGACAAACACAAACTTTAGCTCAACATTGTATGGAGATTTTAGTACTAATTATACACTGCACTTTTGGAAAGAGAATCATAGTAATGATGACATTATCTGTGCAATCATTTCAGTGTTAGTGTTAGTGGCACTAAGGCAGTGTCTATTATGATTACTGTCTTCTGTATTTTCCCATAAATAGGAGTGTTTGCTGTCAAGTCATTTGTTGTTGCTTCAGTAGAATAAAAATTCAGATGTCAAGTTATTACATTTATTTGCCCCATTTAGATATAATGGTGAGAGAAAATTGTAAATCGGGACTTGAACCCGTGACCTTCCAGCTTGTAGCATAGTGCCTCAACCAACTATGCTACCGTGTGCCACTGTCCATTCCTGTTAGGGCGCTTAAACAATTTTAAGTATTGTGTTTAAAATGCTGTATCTAACACAATTTTTATGATAAACGGATGTAATTAACTTTGTTTGTGTCAGCAAAGAACACAGTGTCACATATTATAACATAAGATTTGCAAATTTTTATACAAAGGAATATACACTAATTTCAATTTTTTCTTTCAAGTTTGATGCGTACTGTAAAAATGGTTTCCCATTTCTTCGCAGAGTTGTTCTGCATTATGAAATCAGCCCTGCTTGTAACACTTGACATATTTTAGCAGTCCCTGGTGTCATAAAACAGATGGAAGCAATAAAATCATTTGGTCTCCTGCTAGCACTGCTTACACTCTTCAGATTTTTTAATCTTCTGACTAAAGGGCAGAAGAATGAAAGCATGGCTATTTAAGAAAAAGCTAGAGGGGTCCCTTCTTCAGTGTTAAGACCTTCCGTTATAGCTGCAAGAGATTATTGCCCTTTCTGTGGTTGTGAACAGACAGTTGCATCTTGGCTGAGATACAGAGTGCGATCTGTTTTCTGTGCGTTCATAGTGAAATCGGATACTGTAGTTTAATTTCAGCCTATTTATACATCAAGAAGATAACAACAAAATGGATATGGACATCAAATTTTACTATATATTTTAACATTAACCTGCAATAAAAGTATTGGCTCGTGGATGAGTTTGGGCATAACTCATACGTATACCCTTTTTTGTTGTTGTTCATTTAGGTATCATTTTAATTCCTCTATGAGATTGTCGATGTTCTAAAAGATAACCGCGTAAAACTGCAACAATTATATATATTAAATTGTATAAGTTGAATGTACAGAAAAGCTGTGAAGCTATGTGGAATGTTGATGTTCAAAAGTTGGCTGGCCCTGAAAAGGGCAGTTTGTTCCGCTGTGAGTGCACTGGCAGAATTTGCTCCTTTGTAGTAGACCAAGTCTTTATGGCTGTTCAGCTGGTTTGTCCAGCCGGTGATGTGGTGCTGCATGCGCTGGTAGGAACAGCTGCCTATGGTATGGGCTGGAGAGTTGCAGCAATTACGTTAGCTGCCTGGTCACAGTGCAAGGTTGCTGGAGAGTTGCAGCAATTACGTTAGCTGCCTGGTCACAGTGCGAGGTTGCTGGAGAGTTGCAGCAACTATGTTAGCTGTCTGGTCGCAGAGTGTGGTTGCTGGAGAGTTGCAGCAGCTACGTTAACTGTCTAGTAGCAGAGCGCAGTTGCTGGAGAGCTGCGGCAGCTATGTTAGCTGTCTGGTAGCAGCGAAGAGCTGATGACTGATCACTCTGAACTGAAGGTGATCATTGATGATTGCGAGTTTTGGGCTCCGCCTTTTATACCATGCTTGCTGGGCAGAGCTTAAACTTGCACTTGCGATTGTGAGTGGTGATTGACTAGTGCGTGCTATAATGTAAAGGTGGGCTGGACTGTGAGTGCTGTATAAATATGAGTGTTGGCAGCAATGTGATATTGACTAGGAGTTGAGTGCTGTCTGTTAGACCGGTGAAATGGCGTGTTCATATGTGGGATGTTCCCACACCTGTATTAGGGTTTTACTCAAGCCTGTCTAGTAATTACTACATATAAAAATAAATATTTAGAACTGTGCATGTGCTTCTACTAGTGGCGTGTGCACACGCTTCCACTAGCAGAGTTTAAATGCCTGACTGGCCAAATTGGGGTACTTTGGCCATGACGACCATACTCATCACTGGCCCTATCAGGGCACTTCGGATGTTAAAGATTAACCTTTATGAGCCGAAAGACACCATATGGGGACCTTTAAAGTAAAGCCGAGTGGCCGAATGACACTGTATGGTGACTCGCAGTCCACGCGTGCATACAGTGTTTTAAAATTTAATTTTAAGATAGAAATTCTTATCCTACTTACATCAAAACTGACTCACTTACATACAGTGCAGTTAAGTGTGTCTTCTGCACTTCATGTATTACAGAGCAGTTCATAAGGGTGATTTAAAGTAACTGGTCTAATTGTGTCAGGATGTAGTAAATTCAAATGGCACCGCTAAAGTTGCACAGTGCAATAATACAGTTGTTTGTTATAGGGAACTGAGCTGGAGGAAGATCTGAGTGGAGAGGGACCATTCACTTTCCTTGCTCCAACGGATGTGGCTTTCAATAAGCTTGATGAAGAGGATCTTAAAATTCTTACTGAGGACAAACGCTTTGCTGTAAAAGTTTTACGTCAGCATATTCTTCCAGGTAAGCCAACTTTGCCTGTAGCATGTTCTGTAAAGGCAAAATTCACTCTGTGCTCAATTAATTAAGAACCGCACCATGAAGACATATGGGGGAGTGGAGGTATAGCTCCACAGGTCTTGACCTCAGCGCTAGATGGATGTGAGTCGTCAACCTCACATCCCAGCTACTTTGCCCCATGGTAAGAGCCCCTGATACCTATTGGATAGGAAGCTGGGTGGTCCCCAAAGCTAGATTGGATGCTATAGAGTAGAGAAAAATCTTGTCCCTGCCAAGAATTGAATCCTGTCCATCCAGTATGTAACCCATTGCTTATTTGTATATCAACTGAGATATCCTGGCTCAATGTATTCTGCAAACTCTTCTCAATAATTTGTGCATTTGTGCCCTATCATGGTTCATATGTGTACTAGTGTATCTCCTTGCTGTTGTGGGGATGGAACATGAGCCACTTGCTTAAAAAACAAGCACTGTATCCTGATGCCACTGCAGAAAACTGTTTGAAGTTTCCAATTTTAATTACTTGGGATTCATTATTATTTTAACAATGTGCAACATTACCAGATTTCCCATTTTTCAGGAGAGTTTACCCAGAAAGGAAACTATGGTTACAGTTTCATCACATTATATTTACCCTATTTTAACTGGGAAAACTGTCCTCTCCAGCTTCAATGAAAATTTCCAGATGTGTTATGCTTGCACATGCGCATGTGTGAAAAGTCTGCCAATTAAATAAATGGATTGATTTTGTAATATAATGTCACATGTTGGATGTATGTCACGCGACAAATAACCTCACACCTTAATTGATATAGTGAATTTATTGAACACTCGCTCTCACAATCACACAATTTACAATCTCACAATTACTGCCATCAGCAGTATCACAAATACTTCTCCTGCTTTAGTCACTGCCATGCATTCGATACAACACGACTTGGTGACTCCTACAATTCAACTGACTGGTTAATCGTTACTCACTAGTAACTCACTCACCCGTAACTGGCTCAGTCCTCACTACTGAATAGTGTTCGCTGCTCCTTATTTAGCCTCGGCACGGACAAAACAGAAAACAGTTACTTGATAGGTACCGCTGTTGTGTGACGCCGTGTTTACAGGTTGCCTAGCAACACTGTCGAGAGTTGTTTACTGCTGTGTAGTAACTGTGGTATTACGTCACTGTGGGAAGTGCTGTTATGTCACCGTGGCGATGGTTGCCTGACACAGTTGCTCCTCTGTTACATCACCACGGGGGAAGGGGTGTTTACCGAGCGTTGCGCACTGATGGAAGGAGTGGGAGTATGTGACTTCACTTGCGAGACCACAGAGTTCACGTGACCCCTAATTCCTGTTGCGCCACCCGTGTCACAATATATAACAGGCTGAGAGAGAAAGTGTTAATATAATACAGGGTTTAGTATGATGCAGTGTTCTTCATTTAGTATGAAGACAGGAAGAATGCCGCTAGATTCCTTTGACACTGGAGTTACACATGAATAATGTTGAAATGTACATGAACATTGCTATTACAGAAGCCCTCTGCTGTGCTGGTGTGGGTGCCACCTCCTGGCCGTTTACCAATCGTGTTGAAACTCTCAGTGGAAAGTCTGTAGCTGTTCGGAGAGATCATGAGGGACGAGTCCACATTGGCAGCACCACAGTACATGATTGTGATATTCCAGCTACCAATGGCATTATTCATTCTGTTAACAGGGTATGTAATAACTGTTATTTTATACTTTGGCCTTTCACAGACTAATAAGTGCTCAAAGCAGAAGAGTGGGAGAAGCACAGAAAAAAAAAAGAATATTTTCAGCGGTTTTGTTTTCAGAGATATTTGTGAATAATGTTTTCTCCTGAATATATATTTCAAAACTTTAGAAGTATGTTATTACTTGTCTTTATACAAAATTTCACACTCTGAGTTCCAGTGATGCATTTATTTATCACTGCCAAACTAAAAGATAAATTAATATTTATGTACAACCCTTTTGTTGTTTCATATTACACAAAAGAATTACCTTAACAAAACTAGCATATTTTTTAAAGATGTGTTACTATAAATAATTTCAGGACCCTGCATGAATTGAGACTATTGTCATTTCATCACTACCTTTAAAAATGTGCCTTCTCCTCTTAAAGGAGTGAGTTTGACTTCCGTATAGGTAATACCTCTACATTACCTGATGTGGTTGTATTTGCAAAATATATTTTTCACCCTTAAAACAGCGTGAGAGGTTCCATACATTAAAGGTACACGAATGATGAAACACTAATCATTACCTTTCAAGAAAGCACTATCAAAATGGTACAAAGCATTTATAAAATTTGCACTCATGTACATTTATTCTTGCATATAATGCAAATGCATGAAGGCTGAGAAGTAATTTGTAAGGTGACAGTAGTAAAGATCTTAGAAATATGGGTTGTGAAGATCAGAGGTTGATGGAGCTGGTTCAGGATTATGTCCAGTGGAGGGCTTTGGTATGAGTAATGCTAAAACTTAATGTTCAGCTGCTGTAGTGTTAATTACTTCGTTTCCTTAACAAAAATAAATCTTTTCAAGTTTCTGTATTACATAACAGGGCTATGATAATCATCTTGTGGTTCCTTTGTTTTCTAGGTTATGGTACCATATGACAACAAACACAATGGATCGCTCCAGAAATTTGGGAATCCTAATGTTGAAGTTTTCCTGTATGGAGTGTAAGGTGCTATTGTTTTAATTCTTTTTTTTAATAATTTTTAGATGTCATTAAGCCTATATGTTTGATGTTATCACAATATTTGTCATGTTACAAATACTTATGCCATTTTAATGACTGAAAGTATAATCTGATGACAGACAACACTGAAATTCTTAGCCATTTGTATAATGTCAGTTGTCTTTGTATTTAACATTCTGTGTGTGTATTCTGGAGGAATTTTAAATTCCACTGAGGTAATCACATACTTCATGCTTGTTATCAAACTTTTGTTAGTAACATGTTTATATTAGTGCTTGTGTGCCTAAGTTGTTACTCAGTACAAAAATTATTGTCATTACTCAGATTGGCTGGGTGGTCTTGAAAGAAGATTGTCATAGGAATGACTGTAAAATAAGAGGATAGAAGAAAAAATATATTTATGAGAGAATGAGTAATGGGAAAGAGTGGGAAATGAGGTGAGATATATGTTCAATAAAGTTGGATTGAGAATGAAGAGTTGTTATTACAGTAAACATCTTTCCGTGTGATCATATGTTATGTAAGTAACTTAGTGAATGAATAGTAGTTACTAATAATTACATTGCATTATTTGTTGCTGATGTGTCCTTGAAAATTACATGCCAAATACTGTACAGAGACAGTGTTTAATAATTTACAGAAAGTTAATGTTCAAGCAAGTGATACCAATAAAACATATTTTGCCTTAGTTCATGTTGTGTCATTATTTATCTGGAACTGGGCAGTGTGTTACTACCATTATAGAACTAGATAGTAATTTGTATCAAATCAAGGCATATATGAGATGGGCAGTGCATATAGCACACTCAGAGGTGTGCATACAATATTTTGGCAGGAAACTCTATAGGATAGAGACCATTGTAAAGATCTATATATAGATGGTGGGTAATATTAAAATGGATGTTAAAGAAATAAGATTGGAAGGTGTGGACTGGATTCATCTGGCACATGATAGGGGCCAGTGGCAGGCTTTTCTGGGTCTAGTAATGAACCTTGGGGTTACAGAATACAGTGCAGTCACATTTTACATGAGGATGCGTTCCTGAAGACCTTGCATAATTCAAAACAAACTTTCCCCTGTGAATAAATTTGCATTATTTTAAACTTTGTGCATACAATGAGACTTTATTAATTTTTTTTATTGCACTATTTCAAATTTTCACAATTCAGATTCACATAAAATGCAACCATGCTGTAAGTTGTGCAATTCTTCAGTGCTTAAGCAACTGTTGGCTTCTGAAGGACTCAGGTCTAGAGTTAGTTAATTAGATAGTAATTTGCAGTATAATAATGTAACTTATTTCCATCCTCATGGTAAAAAAAGAAAGCTAAAAGGTAAAGCTATCCCTGTAACAGTCTGTGAAGGCCCATAGGGTTGTGAGACATCAGGGCTTCCACATTTTCTCTAGACAGCTCACAGATGGCTGTAAGGTTGTCAGCCTTACGTGCCACCCACCTTTTACACCCCAGGAATATTCCTGGTTCTCATTTCTCTTAGAGGCTGAGTCGATCCCAGGGCCATAATGCGGCTGGAAGAATTAGGTAAATTGAAAAGCCACCTCATTGGTACTTGACCCCATGACCTTCCTGATTGTAGAATAGTGCCTCAACCAACATTTCAATCCTAATGTAACTTTATTAAGGAGCTTATCATTTTTTTTATTTCAACTCTTATAACACCGACTTAGCACAGAAGAGTTCTACTGAGATATAACGGCATGAAACTCTGCTTGCTGCCAGCTTCATGCTTCGCTTACACTTCAACCATGAAAACAGAGGCAGTATGTTCCTCTGATATGTCAGTTGACTTTCACCAGGCTACACAGCATTCTATCCCAGAAAGGAGAATTCCATACAGCCACTGCTGTGAGAATCTCAGATCCATACACCATTTAACAACAACTGAAAATGATGCAGGTCACAGATTACTTAATGTTTTATTTACAATTTTTTTCTGTAACAGTGGATGTTATAACAAAGACCCTTCATTTCTGTATTTTACAATCATGAAGAGGTTTGATCTGCTTTCTTCCTGTGATACTATGTACCTTACTGCAGTTTTTAGTTAACTCTAGTCAAGAATATGCTGGCAAAGATGGAAAGCATTGAATCCTTGCAGCTCCAGTATCTTCATCTTCAGGTCTCATATAACAGATAATGGTTGTAAGAGAGAAGATACAGGATGTCCGGATGAAAGGTATCCAAAATAAAATCATTATATCTTAGAAAGAATTTATTATACACATTAATGGGTTACACCATTACAAAGGGAAATTATATATTTTTTTCTACATATATAAGTTCCTCATTAAATGTAAATGTGGGCTCCTTTGGTGGCATGACAAATATCCAGGCTTGAAGTATGTTTGATGTTACCGTAGCCACAGTGACCCATATGTAGGCTTTCATGTGTTGAAGGTTGTTGACCTTAATCTGGTAGACAAAGTTCTTCCCAAGAAAAAATCCCCTGGTGTTAAATTTGGCAACCTAGGAGGCCAAGCGATTGGTCCACCTCTACCAATTTATATCCCAGCCATCTCTCTGTCCAGGTGATTCCTAAGATGGTGGCAAAAATATGGCAGCGTATGTGCGTAAGCTGGGTATAAAAAAAGTTTTCCTTTCCAATGACGTAATCCAGATATGTGTATGATAATTAGTTTATGAGATATAAATTTTTCATTATGGATACCTTTCATCTGGACACCGTATATATTCTTCCAGCATGTCAACCAAAGTTACCTCAGCGTTTTTTTTTATTGCTAATGGGGTGGGACTACGTCCGTTGTACTGCGCCCACTTCTGGCCTATTGTACCAGCCCCAGATGATAGGTGAGGGTGATTGTGGACCAATTGATGGAATGAAGATTGGCAGGGGAAACCGAAGTACTCAGAGAAAACCTGCCCCAGTACCACTTTGTCCACCACAAATCCCACTTGACCAGACCCGGGGTCGAACCCGGGCCGCTGCGGTGGGAAGTCAGCGACTAACCGCTTGAGCTATGGCACCGCCTAAAGATAGGTAACAGGTTTTGAAAATGTGGCACAGTTCAGATTTTTGGGAACAACGATAACAAACCAGAACCTAATTCAGGAGGAAATTAATAGGAGACTGAACTCGGGTAATGCTTATTACAATTCAGTCCAGAACTTTTGTCTTCTTGTCTGCTGTCCAAAAACATAAAAATTAGACTATACAAAACTATAATTTTGTCTATGGTTCGCCTGACACAGTTATACGAAAATTTGTATCTTGTCTTCGAATTTGAGGTCCTACAAGATCCCCTAATAAGGAAAAACGTTCAATGCTCATTCTGTAAAATTATTTTAATAGTTCTGTATCCTGATTAAGTTCTTTCGAAACAATATAAACGTCTGAGTTTAAATTGTTGTGAAAGAACGGTTGCCCCCAATGTTTCCTTTTCTCCTGTCTTCTCCTCTTACTCCGTCTCAACCACCACCATATCATTACAGTAACAATATTATTATCTGACATTGCAGAAGAGAAGTGCACGAAATTACCGAGCAAAAACACCCACTTGAGATCACTTGAGACGGTGCGATCAGCTAATCGAACGAAAGTTTCCTCAGCGTGCGCCTGCTAATTTGGAAACCAGTTGCTTGCTTGAAATCAGGGATATTTCTCGGAAATCGAGGTTGCGTTGCGGTTGCCAGTTTCCTTGGTGTGCGCCAGGCCCAAGGTTAGGATTGCTTGGATCATGCAATGTAAGGACTATCGTTGTGTTGGCTAACCTGTTGCACGAAAGAAACAAACAGAATGAAACGTGTGTGTGTGTGTGTGTGTGTGTGTATGTGGTGGTAAAGAAGGGCAAAGAATGAATAGAATGAGCGTGTGTTAGGAAGTGTAGCTGATTACTACTTTCATTACATTTTGGCGGAAAAGGTATGTGTCTTATTGTCAGACAGTAGTAACATGTGTAAGCTGTGGGAGTTTGGATCATCTAAGTTGTTTACATTTTTTTAGTCAGATTGGGTTATCAGTAATACAGTAAGTGGAAAGCCAACAGCATTGTAACCTGTGTTCTGGTTCCAATAATCTGCCATGTTTGATGTGGTAACATGAGAGTTGGCCGAAAAGAATGGGTGAATATGAAAATGCTATCGAAGCTTGACTTTTTGCTGGGAGTTAGGTCATGAGGCTTTCACACCAGGGCATTCTTGGGTATAGTGAGGGACAAGGCCAGGTTTGAACTAGTTTACTTCCCCCCGCATCGTGTTATTTTCGATGTTTGTAGTGTTTCTGTTCATTATTTAGTAAATTTGGTATGGAGATGGAGAGCTTAAATCTTCATTACTGGCAAAAATCTAAGGGTAGCAAACAGGCATTGTGAGGAATAATTGCTGTTCTCATCAAGTTGTCTTCCTTCATGATAATTTGAGAAACTTAACTGCAACAGCTCCAGTTATGTCTCTTTATCCATTCTCAGATAGTTGCAGCAATCTGCCAACTCTAGCCATGTTTCATTTAACAGATTAATTCAGTAATTTTCCATCTGAACAGCTTTTTATCGACTGAGACTGAGTTTCTTTTGTCTTTTTCTTCAGCAATTATGAAAAAGCTAGTTCAACTAAAACCAAGTTTTCATCACTACACATGTTAAGTGATACACTGAAAACCGAATAAAAGCGTCTGTTAAAGACTGTGCGTGTGTGGGCTCTGAGAGGTTTCAGGCTTAAAGGGAGGTATGAATCTCCAAGTAAAACCTTGTGGCAAAGCTGTAGTATGAGTGGCTACATTGACAATTATATGGCTTTAGCCACTTGACCATAGGCCTATGTGTCATTAATAATAAATGTAAAGGAACTGATTTGTTCATAACATCTATAACATTCACTTGGTTCCATGAAGAAGAGACCCAGGTGACAAAATCTTAAGATTGCTATGGCCTCACTATCACATAGGATATGTGTGGCTGATTCGTCTTCTTGTAGGCACCTTTTATGGGTTGATTCATCTGTCAATCCTAGTTTGAAAAGAAAGCAGCCAAGCTAACTCTGTGTAGTGATTTGGCTACAGGATGGATGACCAGAGTTCGATTCCCAGCAGGGGCAAGAGATTTTTCTTTCTCCATAGCATCCAGACCAGCTCTGGGGCCCATCTTCATCATGTGGTGCTTAATTACTCAAGCCCAGGGACAATCTTACCATTTACTTTTACCATGAAGATGTATGGAGGATTAGAGATATAGCTCCACCATTCTTGACCTCAGAACTATATGGGAGTGTTCAGCTTTATGCCCCTGCTGCTTTACCCCCAGGGAAACAGTTGCCGATACCCAATGGATAGGAGGCTGGGTTGTGAGGGGAGGTGAAGGTATACCTCCACTGTTCTTGCCCTTGGCATTAGATTGAGCCATGTTATGGCTCTTGGATGATGTCATGCCTTCCAGCCATGTTAATCCCTACCCCTTCATCCTGTGCTGGAGGGTATCACGTGGGATTCCGCTTCCTCTCCCCGTCCCCTCCCCAAATGGCTCGGAAGAAGCCGGTTAGTGAATTAGATTCATTCGCTGTTTGGATCCACAGCGTATCGGACGTACGCGGCCAGCCTGGGATATTTTTCAAATTCGGTTTCGGAAGGTATTCTAAATTATGTCTGGGGGGTTGTGCTGGCAACGCACGTCGGGGGTTTTGTTTGCATTATAGGTTATTGTGTGGCAGAGCGATGGGCTTTAATTTAACGTTACGTCATTGTGTTTTCTTTCCTAGGAATCGCCTGTGGGCAAGGAATATTTGTTAACGTTTATTTTGTGTCTGCTGAAGTAGCATGATGGTAAACAAGAGTAATAAGCAGTGAGAGTGGGCTATTAAGTGTAGTCTGATGCCGCAGTTAAGGCAAGAGTAAAGTAACTGACAGATGTGGTCACAGGTTGTATGTTTTGGGGCCCACGGCTTCTATTAACTTCTAATTGTTGTATTCTGTTTTATTGTGTTTCTCTTATTAAATTAATTTATGATTGTGAACTGGTCTTGTCGATTGGAAGTGTCTCCCTGCTGTGGCTTGGAGTCCCTACTACATCTAGGGAGCATTGTGAACATAACATGAGAGCCCCTGACGATGCGCCGCTCCTATCTTGGACGTAAGAAGTGCTAGATATCAGGAAGGAGAAACGGCACAAGTGGTAGCAGAGCGTGGTGAGCTTCACACTGGCTATCCAGTCCATGGCCTGTTGCTATACTGACTGAGCTATCCTGGCCATCATGGCATAGTGTTTAATTATTAAAAAAAACATAGTAATGTTATTCTGATTTGCATCTTTTTTCCTTTCAGATGGGTCACCATTGTTGCGTTCCACACTGTGGCTCTAATAGCCGCAGTTCTGGGAATGGAGCAGTCACATTTCATACTTTTCCCATTGACCCAAAGGAACGGAAGTTGTGGATTCTTAGTGTAAGAAGAGCTGATTACAAAAAACTCACAGTTAATAAGCACACTAAAATCTGTTCCAAACATTTTCGGGATGAGGATTTTGTACAGTCCCAGTATTCAAAGCGACGGATGTTGAAGAAGGGTATAGTGCCATCTGTGTTTGCTTTGACTAAAGGGAACCAGGAGGCACCTCAGTGTGAAAAGAAAACTGAACATTCTTCACGTGATTCTGGTATGGTTTGTCATATTGTGCTGCTTTTTTTGTGTGTATGTTTTATAAATATTAGATGTTATGAATTCTGAGGGGCATATGTTAGTGTAGTTGGTTGAGGCACTATGCTACAAACTGGAAGGTTGTGGGTTTGAGTCCTGATGGAGTAGATTTTTTTCAGTTTACCTAATCCTTCCAGCCACACTATGGCCCTGGGGTTGACTTAGCATCTAAAAGATATGAGTATCAGGAATCATCCTGGTGGGTAAAGTGGGGTCAGCGCGTAAGGCTGACAACCTTACTGCCATATGTGGGCTGATTGTCTAGAGAAAATGTCGGAGCCTCAACGTCTCACAACCCTATGGGCCTTCATGGCATGTTACAGGGATACCTTTACCTTTTACCTTTTTTTACCTTTTTATGAATTCTGAGCTTCTGAATGTTGAATTCATACTGTATTCTTTTACCTAACTGCAACATTATTTGAGGTCTTAGATAAGATGCTTTTGGTTTCAGGCATGTGTCTTTCACAGGGCACAGTTGTTTATGAGTGTTTTCTTTTTTAGATCTGCATATCTGGCACATTGCCACCATTCTGTCTGCTAATTATGTGCCCATGGCGACTAACAGAATTTGGAGCTAGGTAACCTGTAACTGACCCCATTTCTTAAACATGCATATTTCCACATATTTAACCCTGACTTTGCTTAATGTTTGGTTGTAGAATATGAGATTTATTTGTAGGGTTTTAGGTTTCCACAGCAGTGGTTATGAAGAGTTCTAACTTCTGGGATATAACATTGTGTAGTCCAGTGTAATTCATCTGACCTTTCATCATCTTACACCCTACAGCTACTACTGCTACTACTACTACTACTGCTACCACATCCTCCTCCTCCTCCTGTCATTGTCACTGTTGTTTCTGCTGTTATTGTTAAGACTGGTGACTTTGAATGTTAGTAGAACACAAGGTAGGCAAATGAAACTAGTTTCATAGGACAGGTTTCAGAGTGGTGACTTCTCTCCTGTTGTATTTATGTCAGAACTTCCCATTGCAAAGTTTGAGGAGAGTTTGATAGTGTTAGGAACAGAGATATAAATTGACTAGTACAGGTATCCCATATTTTACAAATACTTGAGTTATAAACTTTAACTACAACAAAGCATATTAATTGGTTCCTATTTTTCAAGTAAGAAACTTTATTTTCACTATGATGAACATCTTATGTTCATAAGTTTTCTTCTTCTTCTTCTTTTTTTGTGAAGATGGAAAAATACATGTACCTTAGTTGTTAGTAGACCTGTCAGTAAATTAATATTGTCATGGTTTAGTGAGGAGATGTGGGGCTTGGAGTGATAGTTGGATTTACTGAATGCTTATAACCCTTAACTACAAATAGCTATAACAGTCTCATTCATATTTATGCTATAGATCACGACTACAGCACACATAATTTCTTCTGTTTTCTTCAGTAGTCATTGTTAGGCAGTGGCTGCTAACAGTGCAATTCCAGACTACTAACAGATGACTCAACCTCCAACCATTGACTCTCTGGGTTGTCCATCTCTCTTTGTTATATAACCTTGGTATGGAATGCATAGAAAACACTGCTTACAAGAATTCCTCTGTTGTTGCGTGTTTTTCCTTTGCCATGGAAAATTGTTTACCATAACATTGCTTAGTGGTGTGACATCATCTGTTTGTTAAACTGTTCTTTCAGCCATTGTGTCACATTGCTTCTGCCTTGAGGCTGCTGATCCCAGGTAGATCTGTGATCATCCTAATGAATGGCATCTCAGCATCTTGCTGGCTCTGATGCTGCTTCCAGTTTCAGTGACATCCAGCCTTCCTTCCTCTTGGGTTGGGTCTTGTGCTGCTGTTTTGCAGCTGTTCCATCCTTAGGGCTACTCCTCTTGAACGCCATGGTTCTTTTATAAGCGCACTTCCTTTAGTGGGTTTCATCCATCAGTGGTCTCTAGCCATCGTTTCAGGCACCTCCCTTAAGAGCTTGACTGGCCTTCTAGCTTAATTTGATGGGCAGCCTTGGAACCCATCACTTCAGGCTACTGCTGCCTCCAGGGGTTATTACAGCTTCACTGCCAGCATTGTTCAATGGTTTTGCACCAAAATGGCATTTCCTCATCTCCCAGTCATAGGTGGCTCCTCAAATCCAAGGATGCATCGTGGGTGAGCAAGACATCCAGTCCTAGGATGATGATGACGGTGATATTGGCAACGAACACCCAAGCCATCACTTGATGCCAGCCTAAAGTGAACTTTACTAACAATTCCTGCAGGATGGGGAGGATATCATGCCATATGCAGGACTTACAGCTTGGGTAGGTCTCCCTTGTGCAGTCCTACAGTTAGGTTAGCTCTGGTGATCATCACTGATGCTCCTGCACCAATCATCACAAGACATGACTTGTCACATGTGCCCCTCTTGGTGTTCAGAGTGTCATGGCTGTGGTTTCTCAAGGTTCTAGGTGTATAATGAGGAGGTGGGAGTAATAGAACCGTTGCCTTCATCATTTCTCCCTTCATTTCTGCAATCTTGGTCAGTCTGTTTCTGATTGGACTCAGTGTGTTCTAGAGAGGCCTCCACTATGGCATCTATGTTTTATTTATGAGCCTTCATATTTTCTTAGCTGGCTTCCACCATGTCTTGAATTTCATTTAAATCATAGGTGCTCCATCATTTTTTTTCTAGTATGGCAGTATAATTTTCCAATGCAGTCTTCAATAAATAAGTAAATTTAATCACACTTCTGACACCAGTTGTCACATATTAGTCACTAGAAATGGGGTTTGGATTTATAGTTAGATTTATTGAATATTTATAACTTGTAACCAGAAGTAACTATATCACAGTCTCACTGATTTGCACTTTAGCTACAACATATGTAACATCTTCTGTTTGTTCACTTGTTATTGCTAGGCCGAGGCATCCAGCAGTGCCAATCAGTTCGTCTTGGCAGCAAGCCACTTGAGGCTCATGATTAGAGATTTTTTTTTGGAAGGGGGAAGTGAACCATTGCAGTCATAGCCCTTGTGTTATGATGAAAAGATGGGATTGTATCTTATGAATAGACTTGGCTTTTTTCAAGTGTATGTATCACATACATGTAGCATGTCATTGAAAATTCTTCCTGTTCCACTATAGTATTCATATTCATATTATGAGAGGGGGTGGGTTTCCCCATGCACTTAGACCAGTTATTGGTCCATTGTGCGTTTGCACTATAGTGTGTATGTATACAAGTATGTTTCGAAAAGCGCCAGTTTGAAAAACAAAGTATGTCTATCAGGATATACTGTATATTACTGATATGCACAACAGGATGCCCATCTTACAAATAAAAATGAAATTAATTTCTTTATTGTGGTGCCGTGTAGATCTTGTGTATACCGACATTTCTACCCTGAAAATGGAGGCAATACGTTCCTCCAAAACGTCGCTTTACAAAAGATCTACACAGCGCCATATCCCAGAAGATGGTATTCTTCATAGTCACTGCCGTGAAAACCTCAGATCATACATAATAGGAATATCATTTTCAATTTATGGATTTTCACATTACAGAAATTTTAAGGAATGAATAACCTTTTTAAATCAAGGGATTCATGTATGTGTCTATTCTCTTTCAGGAGACAAAACTTCGAAAGAAGAGGCCAGATCTCAGGCATCTCGTGAGAACAGTTCAAATGCTAGTCAGACTGTTCCACCTGAGATAAAGGAAGCTGATAGGGATCTTTCAGGAAAGACGAAAGTTGGATCTTCTACTTCTAAACACTCTGTGGTTACTGTGGAAAGAAAAGTCAAAGATAAAATTGCCAAGAAAGAGATGAACATTTCAAGTGACAACGCTGCTCATTTACTATCATCAAACTCCACATGTGAGTCTCCTACCAAATCAGATGATTCAGAACAAGGGAGTGTTAGTGACATGACACCTACAAATGGTAGCAGTCCCGCCAACAGTAGCAATGGCACTCCTAGCAGAAGACAGTCCTCTGCACTCAACTTCCAGATTGGCAACAGACTGGAAGCTAAAGACCTAGGAAGTGAAATATGGTGAGTAATGGGATAGGGGAAATGATGTAGTTTTTACTGAGCAGTTGTGAATACAGTGAAACTCCTGTTTTAGGTGTCCTTGGAAGGCAGAGGATTTAAATATTAAACTGAGGGTAGTCTTAAATGGAGACAGTTTAGACTCAATGTCATTGACGTTCAGCATTAAATGAAGGGGAACCTTTAACTGAGAAGCTTTTGATCAGGGTTCAGTTGTATTCTGGGAATGTGAAAAGTGGTTAGCTTCACGATTCTAATGCCTTTACCCCTAGTCTTAGAAACATGTGGATAGTGCCACTTTTTATCTCCATGGTTCTGTTGCTGCAGTTTAAAATGCCCCCTTGGTGATGTAGGGCTTGTCCAAGAACAGGCATAAGAAAATTGGAGCATGATCAAATGTAACACAGGATGGTATAGGCTCAAGTTTCACATTTCCCAGCCAGCCACCACCACCAAGTAAAAGAATTAAATTCTAAAATAACAGTTTAATAACGATAAGAAAAGACAAACAATATAACAGTAATACAGAATAGACAGGGTGTAGCCAACTGTAGCTTCTGGAATTTGAACTTTCCAATAATGGAAGATTCCAAGATTTATGGTAGTTGTTGTCAGTAGTGAGTATGCTCTCTGTCTCTGCTGTTTGGGGTGAGGATTTAGTTTAGGGAATGTCATGTCAGTAGTGCGTATGCTCTCTGTCTCTGTTGTTTGTTTTGAGGATTTAGTTTAGGGAATGTCATAAGAAATAAATTCAGGCCCACAGTGTAAGAGGAAAGTTTATGCAACCTGATGTTGTGCAATGTGAATGGACAATCAATGAATGACCGCCTCTGTGGTCTAGTGGTCAGAGTTCCTGGGTTCGATTCCCGGCGCTTCCAGACTTTCTGAGAAGTAGTGGGTCTGGAATGGGGTCCACTCAGCCTCATGAGGATAATTGAGGAACTACTTAAATTGAAAAGTAGCAGCTCCAGCCCAGAAACCTGAAATCGATGGCCATGGGGATTTGTTGCGCTGACCATGCGACACCATCTATCAGCTGAAGTTGGCACTAACTTTGCTGACAAGCGGCGGCCCCTCGAGTGATACAGTTTGCTTGTGGCCTAAAGCCATGGAGTTTGTTTTTTCAAAGGCTGTAGATCTGTGGTATTTCAACTTGCAAAACTACAAGGCATGTTCACATAGCCACATAAGGCTATAAAGGTATCTATCTTAGTTGTTGTTTTACATTGGGATATAATAGATTGTGATGATGATGATATCATCATCATCATCAAATTGTACTGCTCCAGTTATTGTGAATATCTTATGATTTCTTATACATACTCAAGACTAATTCATAGTCACAGCAGTGGATGACATGAATAGTTACTCGTATTGCAGTATAATTCTCTGGAAGGCAGAATTTTGCCGGCTCATACATCCAAGAAAATCTATCATGCCCTGGTCTGAGGTACTGCATAACAGGTACCGGGGTTGTGTTTGTGTGTATCATTTTTTCATTCTATACTCCAGAGTTGTATGTTAGGCAAACTGTCTTTCCTCTCAGGTATCCTGTCAAAATTGTAGAAGTGGACTGGGATGATGAAGAGATTCTCATACATTTTGAAAAGTGGTCTCAGCGCTACGATGAATGGATCCCAATGGACAGCTCTCGACTTAGACCCATTGAAAATCCAACTCCGCAGTAAGTTTTAGCATACCACTCTTCTTTGACTTGGAGATTGTATTAGCCTTGTTGAGAGAAGTATAGATTTCATTGCAGTCATGTAAAACATAAAGCTATAAGTATTTCATTAATCCTGTCAACTAGTTGGAATGGCATCTGTAGTAGGCTTATGTGAAGACTGTAATGAACTTGGGTTTTATAAAAGGAGGAAATTTCTTGACCACATGAAACCATGAATCCCTTAAGGAGGACTTTTCCTCAAATAGTTAATTTGGTTAATTCAGTCTTTGTATTCCAAATTTATGCCTTAGTGTCTGCATACTATCCCTAGAACTAGGTCTGCTTAATACAGTTCTTGACAAGAACCTTGCAAGATGTTATGATTTTCAGTGCTTGAAAATGACTTTGGAATTAATATGAGGCTTGCATTTAAGCAATAATATTTAGTTGTGGAAGAATAATTTATAGTTTTTCATGGGAAGTACAGTGTAACTGTGATAGGCTATGATGTATAACAATAGCTTCTTTGTAGTGAGAAAAATCGTTGGCACCACCAGTTTGGTGACATTATTTACATGGAAAATTCTAACATAAAAGGAGGGCTTCTTTCTGGAACTACTATCATAATCAGCAATTTCTAACTTTCCATTAGTTTTCCCATAACTTTTTACAGTGACTGCATTTGCAAATTTGCTTTTGAAACTGTTCATAGCTTGCAGTTCTAGAGGTACTGTTAACCGCCCCTTTGGCTCCCTCCCTTTCCTAGCAGAACAAAGAATCTGAGTTCTTTGTGTCTGAATGGAGAATATTGGATACAATTTTGTATAAAGTTGATAGCAGTGATATCTGATATCCCCCAATAATTACTGCAGTCAGTTTTATCATCCATCTTGTGAACTGGTACAATAATAGACTCCTTCCACTGATCAGGCAGTTTTTCCTTATTCCAAATAGAATTAACTTATGGGCCTTAGAATGTAACATTTTGCCTCCTGCTTGAATCAGTTCTGCCAGAATTTGTTCACTACCTGGCGATTTGTACCTTTTCAACTATGCAATAGCAATTTTAACCTCAAAAGGACTAGGATCAGGTACTAATGGCTCAGCTCTATGTATTTCTATCTGCCTAACATCATTGACCCTATGTATATTCTATAATTGAGAGAAGTAACTCTCACATATTCAAAATGTTGTGGGAATCTGCAAGTATTCATCATTCCCATCCTTCACTAAGTTACTTCTAGGTTGGTAACTGCTCTTAAATTCATTTATTCCCTCATACAGGTCTCTTAATGTTTTTGTTCTTACTGTTTGTTGCAAGGTCATTAATTTTGTTTCTCACATATTCCTTTTTTTTTTTTATTCCTGAGATGCCTGCTGGCTACGTGTCTTATATTGTTCAGATTGTCCCTATTTATTTTGCTTGGATCCTGTAACCACTGCAGTTTCGCTTGTTTCCTTTGATTTAATAATTGTGAGCATCCTTGTTGAACCATGGCTTATACTTCTTCAATTTATAATATCCTAGACTCTCCTTGACTGCAATTTTTGTGTTCTCTCTGATAGTTTCTCAAACNCACGAAGAAAAACTAATAAAGAGGTATGGAAAGGCATTTATTGCATCAAATATTGTTTTTTAATTAGTTCCTGAAAATTTCCTTTTTAAAAACCAATTTTTGTTGAAGTTGTTTAGGAAAAAGTAACTACATGCATTTTAGCGACATAAGGTTTAAAGGGCCTGCAAGGACAGGGGTGGGATTTAAATACCCTTCGCGCCAGTCAAAGTGTTAATATCCACCTCAGCATTGAAATTTTCCAAAGCTGTGAACCTATTTGAGATTTCTACACATTATTGCTTTTTACCCTCTGCCTCATTTAATTTTTGGAGGTTGAAGCTCTCCATATGAAATCTGTGTGTAGTCTATTTACTCGCTGCTAGTCTCCCTAACTTTTGCCACTGCCAGGCAATGGTCAGTATCACAGTCTGCTTGCCTGAAAGATCAGAGTTAAAATACTCTTGAATGCCGTCTCCTATCTTTCAAAATATGGTCAATTTGATTCTGAGTCTATCCAACAGGAAGTGTCCAAGTAAATTTATGAATGTTACGATGTGGGAACATTGTGCTTTTGACATTTAGATTTTTGGATATGGCAGAGTTGACTGCTCCATTATCATCACCAATTTTGTGTAAACTCTTATTCCCAATTGTTGGTTTGAAAATGTCTTCTCTACCTACTTTGGCATTGAAATCCCTGAATAGAATTTTCATATAGTATTATAATTTACCGAATACACTTTCTAGTTCCTTATGGAAGATGTCCTTCATATCATCAATTTTACCCTCTGTTGGGGCATGAACCTTCAAAATTGATACCACACCAGCGCCCTCTTAGAATTATATATGTCTTCCTATCCCTAATAGACTCTACCCTCTTAATAAGTGCTTATATGATTCTCTTATGTACAAAAAAAAACTGTACCTAATTCATGATTTTCATTCCCCATTCCATATAAATTTGTACTACTACAGCCAATTCTTCCTTCATCAAAGCTCAAGAAGCTTATGATGAAATGAATTGCACAGATGGTGAAAGAGCTCCTTGTAGCGGTGCTTGTTTACATTTGCTCATTCTGGGATGAATTCCATGTGAACAATTCCAGATGAGGTGAAAAACAGTTCAAAAACCTTGCCTTTTGACCTGTCCTGTCGTGGTTTCTTCTTTATTGGTGATGATGGTGATTTCTAAGTGTCGATTGTTGCTTCAGTTGTGGATCATACAGAAAACACCATGTTTTGTCTCCTCTGTTGAGAAACGTCCCATCTTTGTCAACACTATCGATCAGGTCACTGCAAATACTCATGCAATTGTCATGTTGGTCTTGTGTCAGGACGCAAGAAACACTATGCTGGGTAAAAAGACACCAGGTCATCAGACACAATTTTATGGCAAGTACCATGGCTAATTCCTGCTGCTACTGCTGCAATTTCATCTACTGTTTGGGAGTGGTTGGCATGCACCAACGTTGCAACTTCTTTAATCTTGAGTTCAGTTCTGGCCATTCTTGGCTAACCACTATCTTCCAAACTGTCTCTCCCCTGTGAAAAACGTTTGTGCCACTTAAACACAGCGCTACAGCCCAAGACTTCTTCACCGTACGCTAGCTCGATCATCTGAAACGTTTCACTAGCAGATTTTTGTAATTTTTGGCAGAACTTGACGATTTCCCATTGCTCAAACTGCAACATTCTCGATTTCCTCAACTTGCAGACAGCTACCCTTCACAACAGTGACTTTCTTTCTGAATACACTGCACACATGCAACTACTACTTTCTGGGGTGAGAGAAAAATAGATATGGCTCCATGTAGCTGCTGTAGTGCATAACAGCACCACTATGTGACCAATCTATGAAATTATTGACTGTACTACGTACATTCACCTGCTGGTTTGGTGTCACTTCTGTTCCATCTGACCTCCTATACTCCCACTAAATCTAAGTAACATTTTGGCATTTCTTTCACAACTATCATGAGCGAACCTGCCCCATATAGACTACATACATTCCATGTACCAAATCTCATGTTCATTCTCCTTAGCTTAGGTTGTTTATCCATAAGAATCTATCAAGTCCAGGACCTTTGTGACATTTTGTAAAAAGTTTATTTTTTATGGTAAGATGTTAGCCCCACACCCAGACCCCCTACCTGGAGGAACACCCCGTGTTGGCTGACCGCTACTGCTTTTTCAGTATATTCACAGCTACCTTCCATATCTGGAGGCTTCTCCTCCATCCACAACCTGAGGACACACCATGCCATGATGACAAGGGACCCACCTAACATGGCTAGATGTGCCATTAGTAACTATTTAAAAACTTATCATGTCTGTCACATATAAAAGAAGAATCATAATAACAGTATTCGACTGTTAAGGAAAACTGAATTTTGCTAGTACTGATTATAATGTTATTTCTTATGTTTAATCAAATACAACCACTTGTTTTAGAAATGATGGTAAGAATGTGTCAAAAGTATTCAATATTGGGGACCGAGTGATGGCAAAATGGAATGACAGCAGACGATATCCAGCCAAAGTCAAAGCTGTGTTGGGGAATGGTAATTTCACTGATATATTCTGGAGTTCTGTAATGCATGTTCCTTGCTATAATAGTCATAGGAAGATGTGAATTCCTCCAGTGTTGTATTAATTGATGACATATCTTTTTGTTTGTTTGTTTGTTTAAGTATGAATTTGAAACTAATTTTTAACACTAGAGACTGCTTATAGGATTAAACATACATTGTTCATAAGTCATGTAGTGTAAGGATTTTAGAGTAGATGTTCTGACTGGAACCTATTCAATTCCAGATGCAAATATAAAGTTACTAAACTGTGAAGATACAGAATTTGTTACAATATGGCCCATTGTTGTGCTTTTGTGAACATGATAGGCAAATGATTGTCAGCTTCTCAAGACTTAGTCAGTTCAATGGACTTAGTATAGACTGAGATTCAGATTCTAGAAATATCAGTGGATTTGTATGCAGTATTGAGATTATTTTGTGTTCCAATGATTTCACTGAAATTTCTATTGGCATTTCTACAAATTCTCTTAATTTGGTTACTTGAAAATGTAGCTTTTGTTGCAAATTAATGAGATAATATTTTGTTGAGAAGGGATATGTGAAGACCCATTGCATTCTAAACTAATTTGAAGGTAAATTACAGGAAGTAGTGTTCTGGATATATTTTAATTAGATGTTAGCAGTGTTAGTAAGTGGTAGTAATGGTGTTAATTCCATATTTTATAGAGTATTTTGTGTTCTGTATTTTATAGACTTCTGTTAACATAGGCACTGATTTTTTTTAAGAAAGTCAATGTATGTGTTTTTAGCAAGAAATTATAAATCGCGAGTAATAATGATTGATTCTCAGTAGTTTCAGAAAGTAATTTTTTCACTGATGCTATTGTTTCTTACTTTACAGACATGTATGAAGTACTGTTCTTTGATGGTTTTACCAAAAATATAAAGGGAATACGAATGTCAAAACTTGAAAGTGATGCGGATAATATGGCCGAGGTAAGGTCAGATTTGTTCTTAATTTTAGTTTCATTTATTGCAGTCTGTGACTCCATCTGTGGTCTAGTGCTCAGAGTTACTGGCTACAGATCCAGAGGTTCTGGGTTCGATTCCTGGCACCACCAGATTTTCTGAGAAGTAGCGGGTCTGGAACAGGGTGCACTCAGTCTCCTGAGGATAATCGAGGAGCTATTTCAAGGAAATATGCCTCTGGTTTACAAAACCGAAATTAACGGCTTTGGTGATTCGTTGCGCTGACCACGCAACACCCACTATCCGCTAAAGTTGGCACTCACTTTGCTGAGAAGCGGCAGTCGCTTGGTTGGTATAATTCGCTTGTGGTCTAGAACCACGGAGTTTGTTTTTTTGTTTTTATTGCAGGCTGGATCACTCACCACTTGCAGGTGACATATTTCATGGGACCAGACAGGGCGCATTAGAGCAACATTGAGTAAATAATCATTGACTCCACATTATTTAATGTGTAATGGCATTAACTGATTATACACCCCCCTGAAAATTTTGGAATACTGCAGTTGCTTGACAATCCTTTGCACTGAGCTCCAGCTTATTCCAATGTAAATAAATTTTGTCTCTGATTCATAAATAAAACCATATACAAGGTGGTTCAAATATGACCGGGACTGATTTTTTTGTAAACAAACCACACTGTGCAGCAGCTGTGCGACCTTGAGAGAGTGAAGCAACAACCTCCAACGTCCCTCCTGTTAGGGTTAGAACCTGTTCAGTCCTGTCTTGGAGTTGCTAGAGTGATGAGCGAACAGAAGGTACTGCGGAGCATGATACAACACATTGTGATCAAATTCCTCGTTGGAGAAAATGTCCCATCCGCTGAAATTCACCACAGACTCCAACAACAGTATGGGAATGAGTGTCTCTCATGGACCCGTGTGTTTGAGTGGTGTAAGTGCTTCAGAGAGGGCAGAGAGCACGTGGAGAATGAACCGCATGATTGTCGGCCGCGAACATCCGTCACCGAGCCAAACACTGATCATGCAGATGCGCTTATTCATGAGAATAGGCGCATCACTATCAAGGAACTTGGAGCAATGCTGTCCATCAGTGTTGGTAGTGTAGAACACATCGTGAAATACCACCTGCAATATCGCAAGGTGAATGTACGGTGGGTACCACACACTTTGACGAACATGAACAAAATGGTGTGAATGCAAGCTGCCAGTCGTCTCCAACAGCAGTTTGAAGACAAAGGTGATGCATTTTTGAAGTCTCTAGTGACCATGGATGAAACATGGGTGCACTACTTCATTCCCGAGTCCCAGCAGTCATCACGTGAGTGGCGGCATATCAGTTCTCCCAAACCCAAGAGAGCGCGGAGGAGCCATTCGGCAGGAAAAGTGATGGCAACATTCTTCTGGGATTGGCAGGGAGTTATCCATGTAGACTTTCTGACAGATGCCAGAACAGTCAGTGCAGCTTATTACTCAGACCTCCTGGCAGCAGACATGAAGGAAAAGATCCAATCCAAGCGGAAGAGAGGTGGAAAGCGGGTAGCCTTCCTTCAAGACAATGCATGCCCCCATACAGCCAAAACAACAATGGAAACCCTCCGGAAATTGAAATGGAACCTTCTGACACATCCGCCCTACAGTCCCGATTTGGCACCAAGTGATTTCTACCTGTTCGGAAGGCTCAAATCAGACTTGCAAGGCATGCGGTTTGTGGAAAACGCCGCCTTCATCCAGAATGTTCAGGAGTGAATACGCCGCCAACCACAAAACTTTTTTGAAAAGGGCACAAGGATGCTTCCAGAACATTGGGAAAAATGTGTTGACTTCGGAGGGGAGTACGTTGAAGACTGGCATGTGCAAGTAAGTGTTCGGCAATTTTGGTTAAAAAAAAAAAAATCAGTCCTGGTCATATTTGAACCACCTTGTATTTATATCCTTTTAATAAAATATTCAGTTTGCCTATGTTTTTCTAGAAATGTCACCATTTTGAGTATTAAGCTTCTAAGAGTTTCATGCTACATGATATATTACAGTTACGGTGGAGATAAAAGCTTCATGATTTCAGTAGGGGCTGATTCTTGGAGGTAAAATAATGACCAATTGTAATTACTAAGTTGACATTACAATTAAAATAAAATGTAAATCACCTCTGTGGTCTAGTGGTCAGAGTTTCTGGCTACAGATCCTGAGGTTCTGTGTTCGATCCCTGGCACTGCCAGATTTTCTGCGAAGTAGTGGGTCTGGAATGGGGTCCACTCAGCCTTGTGAGGATAATTGAGGAGCTATTTTAAGGAAATAGCGGCTCTGGTCTAGAAAACTGAAATTAATGGCTCTGGGGATTCGTTTCGCTGGCCACGCAACACCCTCTGTCAGCTAAAGTTGGCACTACTCTGATAAGCGGTGGTCGCTCAGTCAGTATAGTTCACTTGTGGACTCAAGCCACAGCTTTTTTTGTAACTCGCATCTAAGTATATCTTGTTTACTTCCATATGTTGATTATACGAGAGTCGTACTGAAAGCCATGAGCAACAATTTTTTGTAAAGTAACATGCTTTATTATTGACAAACCAAATACACCACCTCAATCTACAGACCTTTCTTTATTTTTGCACATAATCGCCACTTCTTTGTACACATTTCTCCCAGCGTTCTGGGAGTTTGAAAATTCCCCTTCTGTAAAATTCCGTTCCAGCCATCCGAAGACACTGACGCACTGCTTTCTGAACTGCCTCCCTTGTCTCAAAACTTTGTCCATGCAGCTGATCCTTCACAAATCAGAAAAGATGGTAGTTGGAGGGTGCCAGATCAGGGCTATAGGAGGGGTGTAGAAAAACTTCCCACCCAATCTTTGCAGTTGCTTCCAGTGTGAGGCAAGCAGCGTGGGGGCGAGCGTTGTCATGCAGGATGATGATGTTTCGTCCTGGACATTTATCACACAATGCACGACGGAGCTTGTGTAGCGTCTGGACATAACGAGCAGCATTGATAGTTTGCCCAGGTTCCAGGAATTCGGCCAAAATAAACCCCTCTGCATCTCAGAAGACTGTGCCCATCACCTTCACAGCTGATGGCACTTTCTTTGCCTTCTTTTTTGATGGAGAATGCAAATGGTGCCATTCCATATTTTGCCGTTTCGTTTCAGGGTCGAAATGGTGAAACCAGCTTTCTTCACCTATCACAATACAGAGCAAAAAATTATTGCCTTTGTGTCGATATCTCTGCAGCAGTTCTGAGGTGATGGCTTTTTGCTGACCTTTGTGGTCTTTGGTCAATAACCGCGGGACCCAACGAGCACAAACTTTCCTATAGCCCAATACAGAGCAAAAAATCATTGCCTTTGTGTCGATATCTCTGCAGCAGTTCTGAGCTGATGGCTTTTTGCTGACCTTTCTGGTCTTCAGTCAATAACCGTGGGACCCAACGAGCACAAACTTTCCTATAGCCCAAGCTTTCAATCATCTCCTGTACTGCACTGTGCCCTATTCCAAGTTTTCGGGCTATTGTGTCTACAGTCACACGCCTGTCATCTTGAATGATCTCATCCACTCTTTCCATGTTGCGTTCAGTTGAGGCTGTTCGAGGACGACTGCTCCGAGGCTCATCTTCGATGCTGGTGTTCCCATCTTTAAAAGGTTTCACCCATCTTCGAACACTGCTTGCACCCATGCACACACTTCCATAAGCACGCTGAAGTCTCTGGTGAATTTCTGCAGCAGGGATTTCCTCTTTCACAAGAAATTTGATGACAGCAGGCTGGCAAAATGACATATCATTGTCAGCCATTTTGTTAGGAGTGATACTGGTCACGTGATGCAAGCTATTGACGTCACAAGACACTGAAGGTTAACACAACAGCTGGTTCCACGTACCACTGTACTCTCTTTCGTCTGCTGTTCCCAGGTTGCATGCAAAAAAAGGTTGCTCATGATTTTCGGTATGACCTACATATGTTGTTACCATCTTGACATGTTTGGGTCACGCAAGGCCATCTTCAGGGGATGCGTCACATTGAAGGAAACTTTACAGTTCATGTACTTAAAAATAAAGGGTTTAAAATATCTGAATTATATGTTTCTTATAACAGGTTAAAACTAGTATTATGTTAAACTTATGAGTAACTGATATATGTCATAGTTAGTGTAATTTAGGTGACTTTGGTGCATCATGCCCTGTTGTGTGTTGTATGAACTCTATCAAAGTATTATGTTAGTATTCTTGTGGTTTGTTGTGCATAATATAATAATCCAAAGAGCCTTCATTTATGTAATATTTTAATGCCTGTAAGTTATAATAAATAAACATTTGTGTATATCTCTTGTGCTTACCAAGTTTTGATAATTGTTTTAAGATAATTTTACCTGTTGTGTTATTTTATATCCTACTTTCTGCCCTGCAGTTTCTTAGCTTTTCTTACTGAGAACCATGATCAGCCAATAACAGGATTATGCTAGACACAGAATATGCTGTATTCTGCCCTTGTTCATACAGAGCTGAGAATTCAGTTTTTGTCAGTGAATTCCAAAGCTATATCAGAAATGGTAGTTAGCCCTAACTCTTTTATTTCAAATCTTAATTTCCTCAATTGTGGGACAACTATTGCATATATTTGCGGTTTGTTGCTCAAAACAGTTGCCCTGCTTGTCTGCTGCTCAACACAAGCTGAATGTTGACTGACCATACCTATATCACTGGTTGTATTGCTGTTGACCAACCTTTTGTGGATTTCATTAAAGCTTTCCTATCCTACACACAGAAATTATTTTTGTTCCTTGTTTTGTGCATGCTGTGTTCAACATTCTTGTGGTGGAATTTTCAGGTTTGACAAGGGGAAGTAATATATTGACGCTGATCATTCTGAGCCCTTATTTATTTGGAAGATTATAGATGACATGAAATTTATTTTAATTAATTCTCGGTAATTTTTATTTCAAAAAGTCTTATGTTTCGATATTACTGGAAATGTATCGTGATCTTTAATATCGTATTTCATTGTCTGGGACTTGAAATACGGTGTTTATGTTGAAATTCCTAGATTTTGGCAGAAACAAGAAATTCAGAGTTATGACATTTATGATCAGTCATAAAATTTAGCTCGGGTACAGGGAACCGGACGCGCCTAAAAGGACAGGTCAGAGCTTGTTACAATTGCCTGTGAATGAGGGCCAGTATGATTGGGTTGCCTCGTTCAAGCTTCCCACGGAAGATGGGATGAAATGTATATGTCAACACCATCTTTCGAATTCCCGGCGTGGGGGTGCAAGCCATTCCACAAAGGGAAGACTTTCACAATAGATTCCGAACTGAACGGACGTGACCTTGCACGCTCCGAGACATAGCCTGCCGATAGTAACTCTGTAACATACAGCACAAGAATACATTAATTTAACAGTGTGGTGAATTAGCAGGTAAATAAACGTTAATTGGCTCAACTCTTAGAAAAACGCTTTCTGCGGCATTGCTACCCTGAGACCCATGCAAACCGACCCAGCTAGTTTCCCGTACCTATACCGATCTTCCTTAGTTTGATCTGTGAGAACAACTTCCAGTGGCCATCATACACTGTCCTAAGGTAGAAACAGGTGTAGCAGGGATAGCACCATTCCGACTGCGCCAATACAAGTAAAGGCGAGAGGAAAAGAGCGGTGTTAATATATGAATATTGGTTACACAGAATTTGGTTTTGCATTTGGCAAGATAACTCTGGCTATAGTATATAGTTTTACGTAGATTCCTTTTGGACCCATATAAGTACATGCTAAGTGAAAAATGGAAACATATTCAATAAGAATTTTTACATGCAACATTAATTTCTTGAATTCCTTAATTTCAGATAGGTCCTGGACTGTCAGAAAAATTGCTTTCTTCAACAATAATTACACCTATCGTGAGGAATGAAGTAATTTCCGAAGCCATTGGCACGAAACAGGAGAGACGAGAACGCAAAAGGAAAATAAACGTTGTTGAATTGTTTCATCCAAAGAAACGCCAGAAACTTGATCCTGATGCATCATCTTCAAAGTCTTCCTCAGAAGTAGAAAGACGAAAGAAAGCAGAGAAAGGAAAAAGGTGCAAAGAGAGTGACAGTGCTGTCAGTGATGGTCATGGCAATGAAGGTGAGAAGAAGTATATCAACGTGGATACAAATGGGACTGTTCATGAGGCAATTGAGGGTTCAAAAATAGATGAGACAGTGGAGGGAAGACAGGTTGATGAGGATTCTCTGGCTAGGCCAAAGAAGAAGATTGTGCGAAGATCAGGAGGAGGTAGGCTATGTATGGTATGGCTTGTCTTCATGGCTGGTGTTGAATACATGAAAGAAGCACTTGATATAATATTACTATGTACTAACCTTAGGTGCAGATGAGAATGCAGACAAGCCCCGACGTGGCTTGCAGCAGGGAGAGCCTCAAGGGAAAGCTAAGTCTCTTGAAGTGAAATCCTACACAAGGAAAATTCCAGGCAAGATTCCCCTTGGGGGTCAAGAATATCCTTCCACACCCTCAAAGTCAAGACAGGACTCTAGCAAGGGTAGGAGCTGGCGCTTGGTACCTTATTTACCCAATGAAATATGCCCAGTTGTATTAGTCCTATTTGCTATCCTGTAGGACCTGCCTGGAAAATTGCTTTAAATGGGTTAAGTAATTGGTTCATGAATATTTTATTTTGACAGTTGCTTCCTTTTAATATTATCAGTTTCTTTTGTCATAGCATGGGTTGGTTTCAGAATCTGTAGTTTTGTTTCTCGTAATTCTATTTTAGTGGGATCATACTGTGGACATAATATAAATGATGCACTGTTGCATATAAAAAAAGTAAAAAAAAGTAAAGCTATACCTGTAACAAGCCGTGAAGGCCCATAGGGTTGTGAGACGTTAAGGGTCCCACATTACCTTGACAATCGGCTCAAAGATGGCGGTAAGGTTGTCAGCAGCCTTATGCGCCGGCCGCGCTTCACTCCCCAGGAAAATTATTTAATTAATTCCTGGTACTCATTTCTGTTAGAGGCTGAGTAAACCCCAGGGCCTAGTGCGACCGGAAGGATTAGGTCAATTGAAAAAAATCCAATGACCTCATCGGGACTTGAACCCACGACTTTCCGGCTTGTAGCATAGTACCTTCACCACTATGCTACTGCATACCCCCACTGTTGCGTATAGCGTTTTATTAATCATCAGACCTGGCAGAGTAGTTGCAATCTTTTCTAGATGATTGTATTTCCTTTGTCACAATCATGTTTTCATTTCACAAGAATGCATTTCATTTTGAAATAGTTGGTACATGAGGTGATATAATAATCAGTTGTTGCTATTTTATGTCATCACACTCAGTTTTAAGTTTATTGTCACGGACTTTGGGTGAATTTATCATTTATCTGTTAACGGAATAGTTTGAAAGTAGTGTTGGCCACCACTGTCATTGTAATTGTCATCAGCACCTCTCCTCTAAGGAGTAAATTAAATCCACCAAAATGGATATTCTCATCACAGAAGACAATTTCTTACACCCAAACCTACTTTATTATGCAGAATCATCACAGTCTTATCTTATATGCTGGTACACAAGTTTAACAGTTGGTACAACATCATAAAATAACCAAGTAAGCAGTAATAGTTATAATGTCCAGATCCATATTAATATTCAGTACAGTTTAAAAATTGTGTAATTTAGGGTTTTCACTCCGGTGACTGTGAAGATACTGTTATCTGGGATGTGACGCTGCATAGTCTGCTAGATCACCAGTATTTCCCTGAAATGTTAGTGAACTTCTTCCGGACTGGACTACACAGAGTCACAGCTTACAAACTGCTCATCATATGTTAAAAATTATAAGGTTTTGTGTATATATTATGTATTGTAACATGTTTGGCTACTGAAGATGCCATTCACATTGTTAATTGGTTTATTTAACAACCCACAAGTTGTAACTACAATTGATTATAACATTGTTGCAGGTTTACACAATTTACAAACCCTACACACTAATCTCTTTACACTATCTTCAAAAGTCTTCACGTATAACACGGGAGCTATACAAGTGTCACTGAATTACACTCTCCCAGTACCTTCTCATTTATCACAAACTGTCACTGATTATCACACATAAAATCTTCTAACCATGAATTAGGTTCTTCTTGTTCCTGTGACTGACTGACTTCTGCTCCGCCGAATACTCCAAATACTAATCGACACTGTCTTTGGCGGCTGCCACATTTCAACTGACTCCTTAGGCATTCTAGTCTCTCTTATAAATTCTCAGTTGGACAGGCGGAAAATGCAGCTTGCTTCACTGTTGCGTGACGCCGTGTTTACAGAGGTGTTGCTTGGCAACGCTGCCGAAAGTTGTTTATTGCTGCGTAGCAACCAGCGTGCTTCGGCTCGGCTTGGCACGTCACGGAGAGACACCGCTTTCCTTACTGTTGCGTAACTTGGCAACCGACCATTTATCAAGAGTCTGTCTTCATGGTAACTCGTTCCACATCCCATTGTCCAACAATGGTTTGACATGTAACAATATGTTTCATATCTTGAGTGAATATGGTTGTGATAATGGACATATGGTCAAGTGGAGTTCTCATAACAGTCTGTGATCCACAATTCCACTTCACAAAGGATTCAGAATAAAAGAAATTAAACCAATATAACATTAAAATATTGTTTTGAGTCACAATGTCCACAGTACTGTAGTTTGCATGTGATTTGAATATTTAATGGCATTTGTAGAAAATCTTGCATAGATGTAACAGTAAACAGGTATGCTGTTAGAGGAGTAGCGAGATATGTGCCATATTATGTGGAGCTGCAGGATATTTTTGCATGTGCAAAGTGTGTTCATTACCATATATCAAGATGGACATCATTCACACAGTGCTTGTGAATTGTACTATCTTAATTCCATTTTTGTTTTTATCACTTTACAATAGTTTGTTCCTAAACATGTTTTGTTTCTCCTTATGCTTTAATTGTTTTTATTACTTTTATAAGCAAGTCTTAATACATTTCCTTCTGGTATCAGTGATTGGCAAAATTGTCTTTCCTGATATGCAGTCGAGGAGGAAGAATCACTGGGATTGGTGGATGTAGAGCTTTAGTATATTTTCTCTGGATTTCAGATTTAACACTAGGGTAGTGATTGTCCTAGCCTTACATACTGCAAAAACTGTGTGCCTTGGTAATTTTGCCAGTTGCAGGGAAGTACCAAAAATACGATTTTTGTTCAAGAAGAGAAATTTATGTAAAAACAACTGGTTCATGGGGACCATGGATCGTTAAACTGAAATCATTGCTAGAAGATTTTTTCCAAGTTCTATTTTCATTCTTGTAGAACTTAATTTTGTACTGAGTTCAAGAAAAGACTACATTTCATTTCACAGAGTATGTTACAATTAAAAATAGTGTTATTGTTTATTCATATTAACATTAATATATACCCAGCTACAGTTTGAATATACATTGATGGTGACAGTGGTTAATTTGAAGTTTGATTTTATGTATAGTAGCATGATGTTTTCAAGAAAGTGTATCTTCCTAAATAGCTAAGAAAACAGGATTTTCTACAGTTAAAAATATTCTTTGCCCTTCATATAGTAAATTGCAGCAGGTCTCCAGAATTTTATTTACAGCATTCTTGCAGCTAAACGCTGTGACATGGAAATCCAGTGTGTTATCATTAGTGTTCCCATCAGTGTAAAGATCCCCAGTGTCACATATATTTGCTGCATTTGCTCCTGATTTATTTAAATTTAAAAGCTCTGTTTTCTGATTTAAGAAGTTTGAAGTTTCATATACAGCATTTGGTTTCCCAATTAATTGTAAATAGCTCACATTTAGGCGTATGTGAGTAGTAGTTTCAGATAAAAGCGAGAAGGTTAAAACATTATGTATTTGACTTTTATATGTACACATTGTCACTACACACATTCAGAAAAACCTATGCCCACAACATACACATGATACTGTAAGACCATCATTTCTCAAGAAGTAGGCCAAGAAGGATGAGTTTGATGAAAAATTCCAATTGTGAGCTCAGAGTTTGTCTAGCATTTCAGATTTTGGTTATGATGCTGAAATTTAAAGACTCTTTTCTTACTACAGTCTTTAATCCAATCCTGGATTTTGGATAGATATGTATGTATGGTGAGTCATGTTTGCATTAGATTATTAGGCAGTCAGACTTGTAAATGAGTGGTGGTTTTCTATTAAAAATGAAAGGTTGATTTGTCCCCCATTTACATAACAGGCTGGGATAGCTCAGTCAGTATAGTGACATGCATGCTACAGGCTGAATGGCTGGGGTTCAGTTCTTGGCAGGGGCAAGAGGTTTTTCTCTACAATGTCCAGATCAGCTCTGAGGCCCACACAGACTCATATAAAGTGGGTATCGGGGTCTCTTTCTGGGGGTAAAGCAGCCAGGACATGAAGCTCACCACTCACCTCTATCTAGTACCGAGGTCAAGAGTGTTGTAGCTATATCTCCATTCTCCATCTTGATGGTGTGGTGCTTACTTAATTGAGCACAAGGACAAAATTGCCATTTTTTTGTCCTCATATTGTAGTACTACTTCTTTGGAGACTGGATAGCGTATTCTGTATAGCAGCTGGTTATGAGCTGGACAAACAAGGGGTTGGAGTTTGAGTTTCGATGAGGGCAAGCTTTTTCTCCTTTCTACATCATCCAGACCAGTTCTGGGGCCCACCCAGTTTCTTATCTGATGGATACGGGGGTCTCTTCTCCCCAAGGGTAAAGCGGCCAGGTGTGAAGCTGAGCACCCAACTCCAACTAGTGTTGAGGTCAAATTTAATTAACTTATTTTATAATTTATTCATTTTCATGATCATTAATGGCTGTATAAATCACGAGGTCACTGAACTAAAGAATTTCTCTCTGGCAGCCTATTCCCGTGTTCACCATACAGTGCGCTACTGTGTCAGTATGCTATCTCAAACAGTCATTCTGAAATTCTGTGATTTATAAAGCCCTTCCCACTTTATCATGATAATAAGAATCTTCAGGCAGCAAAACTTTGTGAAATTACTGACATGAAGCCAGTAAACTGTAGAAATACTAATTCTCAGAATCATTTGAGAAAATCCCTCTTGTGCAGTGAGAAGTTATAACTTAGATTTCCATGAAATTAGTTCTACCATGTTGGACTCTGGAAGACTGTAAGTATGACTTTTTTTTATTGCTAGTGGGGTGGGACTAAGTCCCTTGTACTGTGGCCACTTCTGGCCTATTGTACCAGCTGCAGATGATAGGTAAGGGTGATTGTGGAGCAATTGGTGGAATGAAGATTGGCAAGGGAAACCGAAGTACTCGGAGAAAACCTGCCCCAGCGCCACTTTGTCCACTACAAATCCCACTTGACCAGACCCGGGATCGAACCTGGGCTGCTGCTGCGGTGGGAAGCCGGTGACTAACAGTGGTCTTTATTCATGAAGGCTGTATTGCTGAATTTAATCATCACGTTGATTTTTAAGTATAAGATTTACCAACTTCAGGAAATTACCTGTAAAAACCTTGTGAAATAGGTAATTATAGCAAATTCACAGGGTAGCAAAATTAATATCAATATTGTTAATTTTATCCATGTAAAATGAAGAAAACTATATAGAAATTTTATTTAATTCCCTTGGGTCATGTAGATGTACCCTCTTCCAGTACATTTTCCCTTTCCCCTGCCAAAATTCATAATACAGATATCATGTAACTGAGTATTGACTACAGTTTCATTTGTTTTGTTTTGTGAAAGATTCCTCAGTGTTTATATTAAAAGTGTCTTTTTATAATTCTGATAGGGAATGCAGAAGATGAAGAAGCTCCACGCAGGAGGAGGAAGGATTTTTCAAACAATTCATCCAAATCTGCTAATAGGTCTAATCGTAAGGAGAGTGACAGAGAAGAAACAGTGAAATGGGAAAGTGATGGACAGGCTGGTTTCATTGTGGAAAGTCCAGATGGTGAGTTGACAGTGTTTTTCAAAGTTCAAAATATTTTTAGGAATATAAACTGCAGATCAGTAGTAAGTTAGGTATTTGCTTAGTGATAATGTGTCACTCACTCACAGAGCTGAGCTGTTCTTGAGAAGCTGCCAATTGTGCAGCTACTCACAAGCTTCTCAGCATTTTATGGAACCTGAAGGTTCATTACCTTCTTCACAAGAGCCCACCACTGATCCCTATCCTGTGCCAGATCAATCCAGTCCATACCATCCCATTCTATCTCTCTAAAATCCATTTTAATATTGTCCACCCATGTGTGCCTTGGTCTTCCCAGTGGTCTCTCTCCATCTGGCTTGCCCAACAATATAATATGTAATATATATAATATATACATTCCTCTACTCCCCCATTCATGATACATGCCCTGCCCACATCATCCTCCTTGACTTGATCATTCTAATTATACTTGGAGAAGAGTAGAAGTTACCCAGCTCCTCATTATGCAGTTTTCTCCAACCTCCTGTCACTTCATCTCTCTTCGGTTCAGATATTCTCCTCAACACCCTGTTCTCAAACACCCTCAATCTATCTTCCTCCCTTAATGTCAGAGGCCAAGTTTCATACCCATACAGAACCACAGGTAAAATTATAGTTTTGTATGTTTAATTTTTATGTTTTTGAACAGCAGACAAGAAGACAAAAGGTTCTGGACTGAATGGTAGCAAGCATTATCCGAGTTCAGTTTCCTCTTAATTTCCTCCTGAATCAGGTTTTGATTTGTTATCGTTGTTCCCAGATATCTGAACTGTGCCACATTTTCAGAACATCTGTTTTCTATTGTTATGTCATGATTTTGCCCTGCATTTTGGTGACGAGACAGCAACATAAACTTAGTTTCCTCTGTGTTTTCTTCTAGAGCAACCTCCTTACTAGCGTCAGTTAAAGTTTGTGTGTTTTCCTTTGTAGTATCTATATTATCACCTTGTAGATTTACATCATTGGCATAGACCAACAGGTGATGTGTGATGTTTATTTTTAGGCCCACCTGGTTTTCCTGGACCTTTCTAATGGCATATTCTAAAGCATATTCAAAAGGAATGGGAATAAAGCATCTCCTTGTTTTAAGCGAAACATATAGTAAAGTCCATGTAGGTAAAATTTGTCTGATAAATTTCCTATCCAGAATGGTCTAAAGATTGAGATAAACTTCATTCCATTTTTCATAAGGTAGCTGTTTAGTGAAATAATTAATAGTTTCACTAGTCAGCAATCTAGATTTATAACTAGATCTTGATTTATTGTTAATTTTATTAGTAGTAGCAAAATATTTATCAAATATGAAAAATTGTGCCTCATGATCGGACAGTGCATTACATAGGGGCAGTGTTATACAAGAAGATAATCTTGATTTATCTACTATAATGTTGTCAATAGCTGAAGCATGATTATTTTGCAGTCTAGTCAGGAAATTCATAGTATGTGCCATATTGAATGTGTTAAGTAATACAGACAATTGCTGTTTATGGTTATCGATTAGTAAATAATCAACGTTAAAATCTCCACATATTAATAATTCAATAGATGGTTTATACAAAAACAATAATATTTTATAAAAAAAATAACGTTTGCCTGAAATGACAGTTTGTCTGTTTGTAAATTATGTGAAATGTGAAAGCTGAAGTAAAAGCTCATTTTAAAGGCCTTAACATGTGGTATGTTATTGCATTTGTGTTTCAGGGCCCAGGAAGACCACTGTTGTTCCTGATAAGAACCTTCCCAGAGGTTGGAGTAAGCATACAATCCAACGCAAACATGGCAATTCAGCAGGGAAATGGGATGTTATCCTTGTGAAGTATGTTCTTTCATTTTTGCATTGCTTTAATTGCTCACTTTAAGTTAAAAGATCCAGTAGTGTTGAGAACGTTACACATGTATCTTATACACTGTGTACCTTGATTCACGTACTGCTAGTTTGGAACTGTTTGAGTTGTCATCTTAAAGAAATGCCGTAGTATGAACACTGTATCAGGAGTGGTGTAAGATATCTGTTGTCTGCCATAGAGTGCACTTGCTAACTAACAGTTAATTGATAGTGATGGTGAAAGAAGAGAACACATCTGGAGTATGCGGAAAGACGAAAGTTGGTGGGAGGAAGGTTATTGATGATTGTGGTAGAGAATAATGTATAATCTGTACTTCTTCATGAAGAAGGATAAAGAAACTGGATAACGAGGACTTAATTGAGCAATTACAGAAGAGTAACCTCATTACAGCAGATTATAAAAGGAGAGGAGGATAAGAGAAGTGAAAGAAGAGCGTTCGCAGTGTCGCATGAGAAAGAAGCCAAGGTGAATTCTAAAATTGAAGTAAATGACTTTTGATGTCTAACAATAAGATCAATAATTTGGTTCTACATCACAGTAGATGAGCATCGTACTCTCTTCTCTGCTGTTAGTTTTGTGTTAGAAAATCAGTTTTCAAGCCGGAATGTCCTTTTGTGGAGACTTGTTTAAAGTTTAGTGTGGCATGACAAGACTGTGGTCTTCTTGAAGTTCTAGCCTACAGCCTGCACTGCAGTATATTGTAACATGTAGACCCGTTGCTGGGCAACAATCATGGGAAGAGCAACTATACAAGAGCAGCTGCTGAGTAACAGCTTTGCAGAGAAACGTGTTCCCATGAAAACGCTTGAACTACAACAGTGAGGAACGGTATTTTCTACTTGGTCTGTGCCAAGGGGTTATTATGGGACAAGTTTAGAGTTTAGTCAGTTGTTGGATATTCATCAGATGGTAAGGACATAACTAGAGGATATTGTTAGGATCTGTTACCAGGCAATTACTAGTGAAGGCTGTAACAAACTACTGTGTGAGTGTAACAGTGAACTGTAAAATGTAATCATGAGTCATGTGTTAAAGTGCTCAATAAATTCAATCTTCAATCCAAACCCCTTCTGTGGTTACTCATACAGGTGACAGTGTGAATCATAATTACAGATGTGGAATGTGGGGTAGAAATGTGAGTGCTTCTTGAGCATACATCAAAGAAGGATGAGGTCACATTTTTATGCAAGTATTCACGTTGTAAAATTTATAATTTGCTAATAAGTCTGTTTATAATAGCAATACCAGAAATTTCAGGATTACTGGTTTTTTATCCATTGTCTAGTATTCTAAGGAACACAAAAAGAAAACGGTGTTTCGGAAACTATCTGTTTCCTTCCTCAGATGAGGAGTGGGAGACACCTACTCTATTGGGTCCATTAGAAAGAGCTAACTTTAATCACTGGAGAGCATATGTCAGTATAACTACAGATAGATAAATACTTGAGATCAGGCTTTGTCAATGGCAGGTAACAGGAAAGTGTACAATAAAAATTATGATAAGTATGTACAGACCTGGAATTAAGATAGAAAAGGAAATGGAAGTAAACTTAGTGAACTAACAAAATCTTAGTACCAGAAATACCAGAAATTTAACACAATTAATTGATGAAATTCGGCTAAAATTGTACTTTTTCAAAGCATGAAGCATTCTTTCTTGTAGTACATGATGTTTGTTTTATTGAAATTTGTAAATGAACAGTAGATAGTTATTGTAGGTTCTGTCAACACAATTGATGTATAAATTGAATAAACTTATATTGCTTTTCACTTACAACATGTTTCAGTCATTTTATGGTCATCATCAGGTAAATTATTTTACACTGACACTGTACTTTTGCTGCTATTTCTTCCCTTAATTGGCCAATGTTTACATTTTAAGGGGAAGGTTATATGCACTATTTACAGTATTAATGCCAGCTGTAGTTCTTATGCAAGCTTAAAATGTATGAACAAGTCAAAATAGAGTTTAAAATAACACATACTGTACTGTATACTGCTTTTGTGTTTAACTGTGTCACAGCACTAATTTCCTTCCCTCTCACCATGCCAGCCAGCAGTCAGGTGTTCAAACTGTCCCTCTCACACATTTTGTGTGTCAGTAGTTCTGAATGAGCTGTAGTTGAGACTTGAATGGATATGATGCTGTAAGGAGGTAATATAATTAATATGTTGTTTTGAGTAACATTTTCTTCAGTCCTCAGGGACGCAGGTTCCGTTCTCGTAATGAGTTGCGACTGTTCTTTGAAGAAAATGGAGAATCTTTCAAGGCAGATATGTTTGACTTTTGCCTCAGTGGTAAAAGGCGCATGTCTCGAACACCTGATGATAGCATTCCAAGTGGAAGGAAAATGTGAGTTTTGAAGTTGATCCTTCACATTAGGGTAGAAATATAAATCCTTTATACTCGTTTTATTGAAATTCCTTGGTTTATACGATGTTTATAATAATTTCTCCCCTCTTATTTTTAAATCATTTAGGTTGATAATAAAATCACTTTAGAATCTGTACCTATTCAAAACCATCGCCTCTTACAGCATGAACTTCTACCTGACCCAGCCATTATGTTCTCAGTCCTCCTGTTGGATATCTTCTCACAAACTGTACTTCTGTTTCTAGAAAATAATAACTGCAGTGACAGTAATAATGGTGATATAATGATGATTACAAGAAGTTCTGGAAAGAACTAATTGCCTACTTTCCGTTGATATGACACAGACCACATAGAAATTGAACAAAATTATGGTGGTTACACAGACCAACACATAGACACACCGAAAGAAAGTGATCTCATGAGTCTCCTTTTATTTTTTTTCAAAACAATGAAAATAGGCTAACAACAGTTACAACAACAGTTAGTCGCTGGCTTCCCACCACGGCAGCCTGGGTTCGATCCTGTGTCTGGTGAAGTGGGATTTGTGGTGGACAGAGTGGCGCTGGGACAGGTTTTCTCCGAGTACTTCGGTTTCCCCTGCCAATCTTCATTCCACCAATTACTCCACAATCACCTTCACCTATCATCTGGGGCTGGTACAATAGGCCAGAAGTGGCCACATTATAAGGGACTTAGTCCCATCCCACTAACAATAAGAAAAAAATACAACAGCAGTAATAAATCCCTCTTTATTAATTGGTCTGTTTTTACTTGTTTCTATAACATCTTCATGTCATGTCTTTGTTTTTCATATGGCCCATTAGCTTGCCTTAGCTAATTATGTAGGTTGCATGTTATGACATAAATATCTTTAGGTGATGATTGTGGTATTGTTAGGTCTCGTGGTCCTGGAGGCAAGGCTAAGGGAATAATAGGTCCTGGTGATGGTGATATGGGAGAACACCAGTCTGTGCCGCAACAGCAGAAACAACAGTTGCAGCCTCAGCGCCGGGTCAAAACATTACTGCCCAAGATCAGGCGCACATCAGCATCTCAGTGTGAAGATGTTGACCGTGAGAAAAATGTTGACCCAACGCCACCTCCCCCACCCTACACTGCAGCTGTAATGTCGGTACCTGCCATCAGAATGGAGACTGAAATGCTTGAAGGTGAAGGTTGGTATTTCAGTGAACTTTACATCATTAATGGAATTCACTATCAAAGAATGATGTAGTCAGTCATGTATGAAACAGATACATTGATTAGACAGTTCAACAGATCGTTTTAGGCAGGTATGAGAATGACTTCTTCACCTTGAGGTGGGGTCAAAATTCCTAATATCATATATTATTGTAAAAGCCCAAATTTTAGTAAAACCTATGATTTGCATAGCAAAACAGTTTTGGTAAAACCCAAGAAAGCAGCTGTTCAGGTCTTATATCAGAGTTTTATCGTTCACTGTTGACAAAACCTCCTGTTCCACAAGAAGGTGGTAAAAGTACTCATAAGAAAATGCTTAAACATGTAGCATTGTACTTTTCTTCAGTCAAACAGAAATGATTGTCTCCTTTTTTTTTTTTGAACCCACTGCTTATCCTAAAACTTCATAGAATATCTCACTAACTCAGTATCCATTTGAATGAAATTAAAAAATAAGTCTTAAGATTTCAGTAAAATAGAACAGCGCAATGAAACTGAGAACTAGAGTGAACAGTGCACCTCACTGAACTGCTCTAACATATGCACTGAAGGCAGCTTCAAGCTTTGGAGGTGCCTTGAATATGTTGTGACATGAACATTCAGGGCAGGCTTTTAGTACCTGCTTAGCTGATCACGTCTTGAGAAGAAGCAAAATCTGCAGCTACTCAAGAATTTCCCAGCATTTTATGGAACCTGAAGGTTCATTACTGTGTTCACAAGAGCCCTCCACTGGACTCTATCCTGAGCCAGATCAATCCAATCCATACCATTCCATCCTGTCTCTCTAAGATCCATTCTAATATTGTCCACCCACCTACACCTTGGTCTTCCCAGTGGTCTCTTTCCTTCTGGCTTTCCCACCAATATTCTATATGCATTCATTTTCTCCCCCATTCATGCTACATGCAATCCTAATTTGTACCAAGACCAATTGGTAAAACCCCAAAATAAGATGCTAATAGTTGCTTTTTCAGGTTTTTCCAACATTTTTGGGGAAGTCTAGGTTTGATGCATAAATCCCAGGTTTTACCAAAATTTGGGCTTTTACAGTAACATGTATATTGAGACCCTAGTTTTGTAGTTCTTAAAAGGAGGAGGAGAGGAACTCACCTCCCATTCAGGCAAATCTGAGACAGAACTTTTTGACATCAGACCCGATGCTTAAAACAAACTCAGTTTCTGACAGAAAAATGAATGTTCAAATTAACATTGAGTACAGAGTGAATTTTTATTTTGGGAGGCTGTCTCTGCCTTAGTGATCATGGATTGATTATGGAGACAGATGCAATCTTTAAAACACTTAAAATTCATTTTGTACTGACACATCTGATTGCAGAAGATGTCATTGCACTCAGTCATTGCCAATGTCAGCTCTTGTAACAATAAGTATATTAGTGTGGTCTTAATTTGACAAAAAAAGAAACTAACATGGGAAATGCTTATTAATACTGAAAAGGCAAGACAGATTTACATTATTACCATATGTGGCAAGTAGTAATTGGGATGCTCAATATATGAGCTTAACATGATATACAAGACGTGTAAATTATGGTAGTGCAGCACTAATAACAATGACACCATCCAATTCTAATGAATCACACTGAAATTGGTAACAGGAGAGTCAAGTTTATCACAGTAGCAGTAACTGAAATCTGCAAAAACATACATTTTGCGGTGTGATGGGCAAAGTTATGGCTTAAAATTACTTGAACAACTAAAAAGACTCAGGTAACAACTATCAGAAAACATGCAAAAGGACACAAAGAAACCTGAAAAAACTAGAAATATGTGAGCAAAAAAATTATAACTTTCAGATTCAAGTAAAAAGCTCTTGAGCTGTTTTTGAAATCATTAAGCAGGAAAACCTCTTAAAGCACAACTTAGAAGAAATTATTTTGCATATAGAATTTCTCATTTGAATCATAGATCACTTTATAAGTCATAGTAAGTACACATTAAATTAGTGGGTGTACATGTTAAGATCAAGGAAAATACTGTTCTACACAAAATTGCATTATATGAGGGCTATTTGGAAAGTAACCTTCATTTATTCTGGGCAATCAATGTAGGAGTGCGGGAAGGCTGTGCGGGTGAGGTGGCGTCACAGACTCATTGCCTTGTAGACCATCACATAACTGGTCACCTGGTGTTCTTGTCGATACAGAGTTAGTTATGATGTGTTCTGCGATAGATAATCCTGCCAGCTGTGAAATTTTTGCTGTTATCTGCTTCCTTCATGCTGAGTGCTGCAGAAATACACTGTGAATTATGTGTCATTTAGAGCCAAAATGTAATGTGTGAAGGAACTTTAAAAGAATGGTGTAGAGCATTCAAAGCTGGGCAAACAAATGATCATGATGAAGAATGAAGTGGTCAGCCATCTTCAGTGAGTGACAATCTTGTTTAAATTGTTGACAAAAAATCTGAAAGATGGCTCTTGACAATTTCAGAACTCGTGTGTGAACTTCCACAAATTTCACGCACTGTTCTCTACAAGATTATCACAGTTAGGCTAGGCTATAACAAGTTTTGTGTAACATGAGTTCCAAAAATGCTCATGGGTGTGCGCAAAAGGCAGATAATCTTTTACAGCGATACCACAAAGATGGAGATGAATTTCTCAGTCACATTGTATGAGTAACAGGTGATGAAACCAAGGTTTCTGAAACTGAAGAGCAGTCAAGACAGTGGATGCTCATGCATTCACCAAACAAGCAGAAAGTTTAAACAAACATCTACCAGAAAGCTGATTTCAGCTGCTTGCTAGGACAGGAACTGAGTGCTGATGGTGGAATTCATGCAACAAGGGACTGCAGTAATGTCATAAGTGTACTGTGAAACACTAAAAAAAAAGCTGCCTAGTGCCAGCCATTCAGAACAGAAGGTGTGGAATTGTGACAGACTATATAGCACTCCTCCATAACAGTGCTTGTCCACATACAGTTGCTTGCACTCAAGCACTACTAGAGCATTTCAACTGGGAGTTGTTTGACCTGATTTCTTTGCCTACCTGAAGAACTGGTTGGGATCACAGTGCTTTAGCAGTAATGAGGCGTTGATGGAAAGTGTTGAAGCATGGCTGAGCTCACATGCAGCAAACTTCTTTGACACACGCATACCAAAACTTATTCAATATGATAGGTGCCTCAATTATGACAGTGACTGCACTGAGATATAGCTTAAGTACGGACATATATTTTTTTATATGTGATTAAAAATTGTCTTTTCTTATTGCTTGTTTTGTTAACAGTTCACCAGAAATTATTTTCCAAACAGCCCTCCTATTATTCCCCTATATTGGCCAATGTTTACATTGTTTAGGGGGAAGGTCATATGTGTCATTTATAGTATTAATGGCAGCTGGAGTTCGTATGGAAGCTTAAAATATATTAGGTTAAAATTAATTTTACTTTTAAAATCAGATGAAATATAATAAATAATTATTATTGTTATCAGTTGTAGAAACTGGCCAGTATACGGGTATAATACCAGAACACGTAGAATGTTAATGTAAAGTGACTTACCAGATGATGGCCCGAATGGCCGAAACATGTTGTAAAGTAAGAACAATGTAAATTTATTCAATTTATACAGGAATTATGTTGTCAGAACATCTAATAAATAGTTCACACAATATGACACTAAAATGCAATATTCCTACTTATTTCATTATTTTTCAAAATATATTAATCAGTTATGGATATAAACCACTCAGAAAGCTGTCATCTTTTCATCATATAGTTGCTTGCCTGAAGGATTTAGAAGACATGGTGTTTGCAGTGACCTCCAGTGGCATGTCACACAACAGATAGTCTATCAGTCTTAACATGTAAAGGAGGTGCCAGTGTGAATGGGATTATTGTCATATATCAGATTAAATGACTGCTAGAGAATCATATGTGTCTTACTTTGGGAAATGATAAACATTAATTTGTATTTGATTTGTTTCATTCTGGTCCGTCACAACAACAATTACAAATTATAAATCACTCTGTCCAATGTGACCTGTAAGTTTTTTACTACATAAAAACTTAACACCCTTACATGTTTCGGTCTCTGTGGACCATCTTCAGAGGGTAAACATCACTACAAATAGGAAACCACTATCACATAATTTTTATGTAGTAAAAAACTTACAGGTCACATTGGACAGAGTGATTTATAATTTGTAATTAATTTGTACTTTGGCCAAGTTACTGACCTACTTTAAGTGATACAGATTTCATATCAGTACACATCAAGGAATAGTGTGTGTAAGTCACAAAATGCATTGTATGAAAGTTTTCAGTTATCTAATCTCTACTTCACAGCTGATAAATTACAAACATCTATCAAAACAAATGGAAATGTAAGTGTATGCCTTCAAGATATAAAGCATGTATTTTTCTTTCTTTTCTGAGCAGTTGACATTGATAGAAGCTATATTTTATTTACAGTTCTTGTTGGGGGCTTGAAAATTCAAATGGAAAACAATACATTCAAGTGTCCCAAAGATGGTTGTGGCAAGAATTTTCGCAAAGAAAATTTGCTACAGGTTAGTAGCACAGCAGTTCTGCAAAGTATATTGTATTTTCCTGTATTAGTTTGATAGTACACTTGTCATGTTCCAAAAACTAAATATATATGTTTTGTTTAGTGTTCTGATGAATTTGTGTTAGCTTTTACTTGGATCAAAGAACAGTATTTGAGGTCATATTTGGAAATTCATGTTATATTTTCATTCCCTATATAGTTGGTATCCAGATGGCTTTTATACATAGTGGACAAAATACAGTCTTTGCTTGGAAATACTTCTGTGTTGGTCTCACATATTGAGACTGTTTCTAGAAATATGACAAAGCCGTTCTCTCTTTTGTGAACTTCATGGTGATTTTGGAATTCCAGTTTCTCTTTATATAGCCACCTATAAAAAACAATGCACAAAGCACTGTGTTGCCCACACAGTCTGGAGGCATGTGATTTTGTGTGACTGGTTTTGATGTATGGGCCCAATAATTATTTAAGCATGAATTAGTGCACAACTGTCAGCTTCTCAAGAAGGGCTTGGTTCCATGGAGTCCGTAAGTGAGTCAGTCAGTGAGAGCGAGTGAGCGAGTGAGTGAGTGAGCAAGTGAGTGTTTCTGACATGCTTTAAGTGGCACAGTGCAACAATTTTTGGATAAGTTCCCAATTAAGTGCCTCCGTTATTCAATGTCCCTCCAGTCAAGATATGTAATGTTATTGCCTTGCTGTCCAGTAACAGGTGTTATATGAAATTTTACTGTTGTTGTACAAGGTGGTTCAAATATGACTGGGACTGATTTTTTTAAAAAAGAAAACATAATTGCCAAACACTTACTTGCACACGTCAGTCTTCAACGTACTCCCCTCTGGAGTCAACACATTTTTTCCAACGTTCTGGAAGCATCCTTATGCCCTTTTCAAAAAAGTCTTGTGGTTGGAGGCATATCCACTCCCGAACAGTCTGGATGATGGCATCGTTCACAAACCGCATGCCTTGCAAGTCTGATTTGAGCCTTCTGAACAGGTATAAATCACTTGGGGCCAAATTGGGACTGTACGGTGGATGTGTCAGAAGGTTCCATTTCAATTTCTGGAGGGTTTCCATTGCTGTTTTGGCTGTATGGGGGCGTGCATTGTCTTGAAGGAAAGCTACCTGCTTTCCACCTGTCTTCCGCTTGGATCGGAACTTTTCCTTGACGTCTGTTGCCAGGAGGTCTGAGTAATAAGCTGCATTGACTGTTCTGGCATCTGTCAGAAAGTCTACATGGATAACCCCCTGCCAGTCCCAGAAGAATGTTGCCATCACTTTTCCTGCCGAACTGCTCCTCTGCACTCTCTTGGGTTTGGGGGGTTTGGGGGACTTGGGAATGAAGTAGTGCACCCACGTTTCATCGGTGGTCACTATAGACTTAAAAAATGCATCACCTTCGTCTTCAAACTGCTGTAGGAGATGACTGGCAGCTTGCATTTGCACCATTTTGTTCATGTTCGTCAAAGTGTGTGGTACCCACCGTACATTCACCTTGCGATAGTATTCACGATGTCTTCTACACTACCAACACTGATGGACAGCATTGCTCCAAGTTCCTTGATAGTGATGCGCCTATTTTCATGAATAAGCGCGTCTGCACGATCAGTGTTTGGCTCAGTGACGGATGTTCGCGGCCGACAATCATGCAGTTCATTCTCCGCGCGCTCTCTGCCCTCTCTGAAGCACTTACACCACTCAAACACATGGGTCCATGAGAGAGAGACTTTCCCATACTGTTGTTGGAGTCTGTGGTGAATTTCAGTGGATGGGACGTTTTCTCCAACGAGGAATTTGATCACAGTGCGTTGTATCATGCTCCGCAGTACCTTCTGTTCTCTCATCACTCTAGCAACTCCAAGACAGGACTGAACAGGTTCTAACCCTAACAGGAGGGAGGGTGGAAGTTGTGGCTTCACTCTCTCAAGGTCGCACAGCTGCTGTGCAATGTGGCATGTTTACACACAAATCAGTCCCGGTCATATTTGAACCACCTTGTAGCTTTATATGGCACAGTAAATTCAGAATACTATTAGGAAAATTTACCCCATTGGCAAAAGTTTTGCAAAAATATGTACTGTATTTACTTATGTGATATTCTTAATATAATCTGTCCCCCCCAACCCACGTCTTTTTGGAAAAAAATATAAATTATTTTTTGTTGTTTTTACCACATAATTTCTCCCCCTAACTTCATGTTCGTGTGTTGTTCATTTGTTGCCGATTGCACAGAAACTCGTTTCAAGTCTGTCCCCTTTGGCTGTGGATTCTGGACTGGTATGTAGGTTTTGCATAATGAGCTAGTTATTGTTACACTTGATATTTCTCTCCTGGAATAGATAGAACTGATGTTTTTTAGAAGAATAAGTGTGACTTCTTTGGTTTTGACTGAGGGCTAAAAGCCGTACATGAGTCACTGGTTATGGTACTCAGCACTTATTTACAATTTGTGCTGTGTTTCAGAATGGGGAAAAGGTGTTAAGATAAATAATTACACAAGAACTAGAGAATATATAAAAGAGAGAGACAACTACATATATGTAACAGAAAATGTCCTGTAAGTGTGCTACTATTTTATATATAGCACCAAGAATTTGTTAGAAATGTTAGTTTTGGCAGTGACTGTTCAGACTGTTATCTTCTGGGTTGTGACACCATGTAGTCTTATGGTAAGCCGTTAGTGTTGTGGACAGTCATGCTGTCTTCACCTTCAAGGTTGAACTACGAATATGGAGGAGCATCTTCATCCAAAATATTGCTATCTGCATACAGGACTCATGGTGTCACAACCCAGAAGATCACAGTCTGGATGTATCATAAAAGTAATCTGCATTTTGTCTCTACATCTCTGCCTTTGGGTATTAAAAACAGTGGGCATGAAGCAGAGCATTACGCAAGTAAATTTATAAATTATTTGTTGGACATTTATTTTAATTATACCAGTGAACTGGAAGCTGTCTTGGTCATTTGTGTATATCACCTAAGAAACACTGGACAACTAGAGGTGGAGGTGGGTAGGTAGCAGTGTCTCCAGATGGGAGAGTAGAAGTTGCTGGCCATGGTTTAGTGACAAACTGGACTCACTATGCTCTTTAATTTTACTTCAGATGCATCTCAAACATTATCATCCAGAGTACAACAAATTTATGGGTTCAACTCCAAACGTGGCAGATCTGGCATATGCTCGAACAGTTGGTGAATCAATAGATGACCTCATACCTAAATCACGATATAGTGGTGTTGGTGCCTTTGCTATGGGTAGCACATCATATTCAGAAAAGACAAATCGTTTTGAACCAAGCCGTAAATCTAAAACTGGGCCATCCTTTGGTGTTGGAAGTGGTAAGAGTGGAGGAGTAGGAGGAAATGGAGGTGGTGGAGATTGCAGCACAGCATTGGAAAAAAAGAAGGGAACATCCAAAGAAAAACAATCTTCAGTAGCCACTAAGAAGCCTGGAAAAGGGTTAGTGAACGTTTTTATTCATTATTCAAGATTTCTTGGAAAATGCAACTTTCTTACAGAATCTTCTTTCCAGATTTATGTAATGAAGTCAAATCTGGGCTTTAGATTTTATGAACTGTTATTACATAATAAATAAACATTTCAGCTGCCTTAACGAGTATTCACCTTGGTCTCACAAACATTTGCAATGGACCAAAATATTTTGTTTGTCTAAAGCAGAATTTTTAAAATGAGTTGTGTTTTAAAATTTTTGATTTATAATTAATTTTGTGTCATTGCTTTTCATATGTATATTCCAGTATCAGCATTACACCTCAGTTTACTCTGCTGTATCTTGTCTTGTCATAGAACTGTTCTTTCTGCATGTGTAACACTTTATTATTTTGTCATCATCATAATCGTCATTAAATAACAGAGAACATTTACACTGACATACAGTGTATGCAGAGAACCACAAAATAAATGCAACATGAGTTACTAATTCTGACTACAAGCAAATCAACGGACAGTTTCAAGGCAACTGTGTACACAGAAAGAAAGCCACATGGGAAACAGAGGATTATGTCAGAAATATGCAAAAGTAGATGTGGTTACTGTTTTGTTAGCAAACCATTCCAGATGTAAGGTAAAAAATTAATTAATTTTTCTCATCTTTGAGCATGAATTTACTTCTGCAGCCTTGTAATTTAAAAATTTCTTGCTTAGTTTACACAAGATTGTAACACTAGAGCTGTATTCTTTTTGATGCAAGTCCTTGAAATTATAACACTGTAACTTTATGGATTTTATGCTCAGGGAGGCTTTTAATTCCAGTCTGTACATGAGCATTGAAGTGCATTTGTTCTTGTTCTTGTGCACAGTTTTGTCACTGAGCATGGGTCTGGGATCCTGTAACTCCTGTGTATTGTGGAACAACAACAACAACAACAACTTCTCATTCTGTCCACCTCTCTCCCAAAGGATTTTTTGCATTATAATAAAATTATTATTATTATTATTATTATTTAACTGCACATGGGTTTTCACCTGGTGGCAGTGGTACTACAATAAGACAACAGACAGATAACACACATAAACACATTCAAACAAAACACAGCACACAAACTATTAGTAGAAAAGTGAAACATACTATATAATAATCTTTTATATATGTAAAAAAATTGTCCTATGCAGATGAAGGGATTGGAAGTATTGACTGATGATATACATGGTGCAATCCAAAAGTTCCCGAAATATATTAATAAAAACTGTTCCATCTTACCTAGATCTTATTCTGCACCATCACCTTCAAAGTAGTCCCCTTTGGAGCACATACACCGATCCCAACGTTTCTGCCACTTTTGAAATGCATCCTGGAAGTCTTTCTTTGTTAGGGTGTTAGGACCGTCTGCGTTTCTGCTNGGAGGGACGAACTCCTTATGAACAATCCTGTCAATATAAAAAAACAGATCAACATGGACTTAATGTTGTTCTTGACTTGTCGAGCTTTTTTTGGCCAAGGTGAAGAAGGGCTCTTCCATTGCGATGATTGCTGCTTGCTTTCAGGGTTGTAGCCATAAACCCAACTTTCGTCACCAGTGACAACCTTTGAAAGAAAGTTTGGACCCTCTTGAAGCTGTTGCTGAAGTTCCCTGCAGAGTTCCAAGCGATGCTGCTTCTGTTCATTTTGCAGCAGTCATGGCACAAACTTTGCCGCAATCCTCCTCATGTTCAGTTCCTCTGACAAAATTCGTTGACTTGTACCATAACTTAGTCCGAAGGTGTTACAGAGGTCTTGGATGGTCAGTCTATGATCTTGCAGAATCAGATCCCTAACTATCGCGACATTTTCTGGTGTTTTGCCCATTGACGGCTGTCCCGAACGATTGTCATCATCATTCAATGTTCAGCCATTTTTAAAATGCTTATACCAGTTGTAAGTTTGTGTCTGGCCTAAACTGTTTTCACCAAAAGCTTGCTTCAACATTTGGTGCATTTCTGCAGCGGTTTTCCCAAGTTTGAAACAAAACCTTATACAGACACGCTGCTCTCTCAGGTCAGCCACCGCAAAACCGCAAACTCACGGAAACACAACAATGGAAATACGTTCACCAACAGTAAACCCAACCACTCAACTCGACGCTGCTTGCCACACTGATTCACGAAGGATGTGTGAGGAGACACCTAGCGGTATTTCGATGTACTCATAACCATTTGCGTGCAAAATTCAAATTTCGGAAACTTTTGGATTGCCCCACGTATTTGATTCGTCCTGTTGATTTTGTCGTGGTTTTTGGTTTGTTGATCAGAATGATTGGTGATGGTGATGGACGAGCATCAGCTGATGATGTGTCTGGCGAGAGCAAGGTGCCAAGTGAAGAGAAGTTGACAGTTGTTGAAAATACATCTGCCCCTGTTACTGATATTGCAGCAATAACAACACACAAGGAAGAGAAAAAGGAACCACAGACAACAATTAAAACTCTAATGCCAGTAATTCGATCACCCTCACATGCTCAGGAAATATCAGCAACAGAGCGGTTAGTATTCTCTTCTATCAATTTGGTATTGTCTTTCAACCCCTTTAGGAAAACATCCCTTCAGAAGAGATTCACTGTCATAGTTACTTAATTCTGGGAATTTAGTTTTATATTTCTTGGGAGTTACGTTTCTGCCAGGAGGTAGTAGTAGTAGTAGTAGTGAGTAGTGGTGGTAGTAGTAGTAGCAGTAGTGGTGGTGGTGGTGGTAGTAGTAGTAGTAGTAGTAGTAGTAGTTGTTGTTGTTTTCCTGAAGGTACAGATTTACATAATCATTTTCTGTATTTAGATTTCAGCTATTTTCCATCTGTGTTCAAAAATATTCCTTCATTTTCATTAATTCGAATAAACTGATGTAGGTACAGTAAATTTCCTGTTATCCAGTATCCAAATATTCAAATTCTCATCCAGCCAGCAACAATTTCCATTGGAATCTTACCACCAAAAGGAGGAAGGGCTGACTGCATCTCCAAAAATTACAAATTTAATCTGATTAGTTTACTTTCTTGCAGTAAAAATGAATTCTTGTGAAACATGATGTACATGTTAGTGGACTGAACCTGCAAGATGGTAAAAGACATAACCTGGTTAATGCTTTCCTCAAGCAAATATACGTGTATCTTTTGTGTCAGTCACGCATAATCATATGTTGTCCAATTATAATCACAGTGAGACCCACTTTAATGTTCATTAGGTGTAATGCATTTTGTATTTATTTGGTGATCACCTCTACAGTATAAGTATTTATACATTTCTGTTTCATGTCTAAGAGAATATGCAAGTAATTGTGATTGATCAACACTGTAAAGTCTACATTCTGACAGAACCATAAAAGAACTCATAAAATAAACTGTGACTGAAACAGCTAAGAATAAATTTTAATAATATCATATTCATATTTTTATTGGTTCCAGAAATCCACATTTTGCAATACAGCCTCCAGATATAGAACAAGTCAAATTATTTGTATAAAAGTCAATAATACTATAATATTTAACTACATACACAAATTGTGTGCATGTCCAACATACCATATAAAACTATATTAAAAATTTAAGGCAACATAAATTCCCCAACAGAGTAACCGGTTCCATCCATTTCACATCAATCAATCAATCAGTCAACCAATCCATTCTTCCTTCCTCGTCAAATCACTGTCATAGGAAAACGTTCCACACACATTAAACATACAATAGTTCAATTTCTATAATTAAAAATAAATATCCCCCTTTCACAAACATACCATCTTTAATTTAACACATATTCCTCTACAGAATAAAACGTATGTTGTACCAAATATGACCTCATTACTTTGTTAAACTCTCATTTTTTCTATCTCCATAATTTTATTTGGTATTTTATATTTGTATATATCTGTACAGATATGAAAAGTGCTGTGTTCTGAGATGTGACACTTTGCTGTCTGGTAGATGTTTCCTGATGTCTCAGACGCATCTTCAAGGCTGAAAAATAAGCCAAGAATGCAGCAGGCAGAGTGACTTATGCCAGACTACATGGCACCACATCAGATCTTACTGTACAGTTGTATATTTTAAGTCTTTAATTCATATTTTCGCAGATTATCAGCCTCTCATCTATGCCATAGTCTGCTAAATATTGCCTTCCTTCAAGGTGTTCCTACTAAAATTTTATATGCATTTGTCATTTTTGCATGCCAAAACAATATGGCACTTTATCAAATACAAGTTTTAACTTAATTCCTAAATATAAATGTAAAATGAGCTTTTCTCAGTGGTGGCTACATTAGCCAGGTACATGGTTCTTGTTGAGATTGTCGTTGGAAGCTTCCTACTACAAAATCTGAAGTTTTAATATACAGTAACTGTACTGATGTGTATGAAGTACTTCAGTTGGAATCAGACTGTGATATGCAGGTCTTTCTTATTTTAGGTTGAAGAGTAAATTCCCTGCAGTTGAGGAAGGTGAAGAGTATATTGAGGTAATTGATGTGGGACCTCAGCAGATACCACCTACTCATACCACTAGTCTGCAGTTCATGCCTCAGTCATCAGTTTCAAACACACAGAGCACCACCAGTTCAACAAAATCTCTTCGTACTATTCGTCGTCGCCGTCTGTCAGACTTCCATTTTGAGCCTTTACATAAGAGGCGTAAGATAGGTAAGAACATCATCATTGTAAGAACTTCTAAGTACTGTATTTTTGTCATTATTATTACCACCATAATAAATGAGTGTGGTTGGAAAGGAAGTGTTGTTAAATAGATAAGGAAGTAGAAATGCAGATTTTTCCTGAAGGGCAAGAATTTCTGGAAGAAACTTAGAAGATAATTATTTGTTGTGTTCATTTTTATACAGAGTTGCACAAGTGCCTGAAGGTTTTCAGTTATAACCTCACAGGTTTGACCTCACATAATATGAATACATGCAACATATTTTGTACAGTATTTACAGATACATTTATTACCTTTTATGGTTCCATCAGTGGATTTTCACAGTTGTCAGTTTTTATATTCACAATAATGAAGCTTTAACATAATTATGTATGATGTTGCTTCTGGTACTGGATATTGTTAAATTTGTGTGGTGCGTTTATACGCATGTAAGTCACTCTTGTATTATGGTGGAAAATTTGGTATTTATAATTTTGTGTTGCATTTTTCCTAAACTATTAAATTGTTATCCTGCTATGTGTTTTATGATTTAATCTTTCTGCTTTTTGTGTCAACCACAGTTGTAGCTGCATCTTTATCATCTACTGGGACTGAAATAAAATATGCGTAATCAGTACGGGATCTTTTCACAGCTCCTTAAATTAAAATTTGTTAAATGTACAAAACAAAACCAGAACAGATTAGCTGTAGAAGAGTACAGTATATTAAAACACGAAGTTATGGCAGTACTAATCACTTCCTTTTCTTTGATAAGACACGGATCACATAGAAAATAAAACAAAATTAAGGGGGGACACACAGACAGCAAGGTAATCTTATGAGCCTTCTTTTATATCTTCAAAATAACGAAAGTAAGGTAACAAGAAGTCCTGCTTTCCTATGATATGACATAGAACGCACAGAAAATTAAAAAAAGAAGGGATATACACAGACAGCAAGGTGCATTCATAAGCCTAAAAATTAGGAGGGATAGGCAAGGTAATCTCATAAGCCTCCTATTATTTTTTAAAAATAAGGAATGTAGGTTAGAAACTGTGAAAGGCTGTAATTCCATGAAAACCAACATATCCATGAGATCTTCAAGTCTAGCATAGGGCTACACCATTCAAAGGTAACGCCCCCCCCCACGCTCACCTTTGAGGGAGGAGGGTTTGTAAATTGCCATTGGTAGAGGTAAGAAGACAGAATTAGATCTGTGCAACTGGTCATTTGTGTCATATTTCTAGTTCACTTTACAGTGTATTTTTCATATGAAATTCATCTGTATGTAATTAGGATGTACATGTTGCAGTGTATTTATGTAAACCTCCCATTTTGTTGTTTGGGCCAAAAATATGAAATGGTTTTTTGAGCACATTAGCTGTATAATATACAAGTGTATATGTCATTTGATTTAACAGAAATGCTTACCAGGGGTCTTTCTGGGGGGTAAAGGATAGCTGGCACATAAGGCTGACAACCTGACCTTCGTCCTTGAGCCAGTTGTGTGGCAAATGTGGGAGCCTTGACATATATAATCTTTCATGCATTTATTCAGATATTTAACATCATACCTCTCAGTTCCTACAGGTTTGGTTATTGCTATAGTCAGTTGAATGAACTGGCCTTTTATCTGTTTGAGTATGTCATAAAGGGGAATGTAATATGTATTTACTCCCTTTTATGATTGAGAGTTCCTTATCTGCATAAGAGAAGCATCACCCTTGGTGAATTGCAACTGTGTAACTATACCAGAATTACAGATATCGAATATAGCTCATATGCATGCAGTTTGTCTCCTGGGTATGGAATGTGACCAAAATTGGATACTGATTTTACATTTAACATATTCTGTGTTATCAGCATCAACATCAAAATTGGATATGTCAGAAGATGCGGCGGATGTAGTGGATGACAGTGGTGGATCCCCGGTGGATGTGAAAACCCCAACAACAGGAACAGTTGGAAGTGGGAGAAGTACTACTACAACATATCGCTACAGCAAGAAAAAGACACCTATTGTTCACCTGGAAAAGTTAAATGTTGTCACAGACAGTAATGGTATGAGAACTTGTGTATATTATGTATTAATGGAAACAACAATTCTGTATTTTATTTATTTCTTTTGGGATATCACATTAACCTTTCTAACACAAATCTAGTCCATTAAAATGCTGAACTATAAAGAGTATATGGTGAATACATGTTAGTTGTAACGATTCATAATAGCAACAAAATAGTGAATTGATAATGACTGTAGGCACATGTACAAGTGATACATATGCTGTGTCATTATCTTATCGACTGTATCCAGTGAGGTCACCATTTAACACTTCATTTATGCAATAATGACAGCAGATGATATCATAACTACATTTAAATATTCTATGTTTTCTGCAACAGATGTCATCAAATTACCACACAATGTACGAAGATCTTTTATTTATTACTAGTGGGGTGGGACTAAGTCCCTTGTACTGCGGCCACTTCTGGCCTATTGTACCAGCCCCAGATGATAGGTGAGGGTGATTGTGGAGCAATTGGTGGAATGAAGATTGGCAGGGGAACCGAAGTACTTGGAGAAATCCTGCCCCAGCGCCACTTTGGCCACTACAAATCCCACTTGACCAGACCCGGGATTGAATCCGGGCTGCCCCAGTGGGAAGCCAGCGACTAACCACTTGAGCTATGGTGCAGTATGAAGAGGATAGTATAAGTGTTGAGGGGTCAAAATACATATTGATTTCTATAGACATTCTATAGAAACATTTGTTTATCAAACCAAAACTCTTTATGTTAATTTGTTTAACTGTGGAATTTGAACCCTTGGCACTGGATCTTCTTTGGGGATAATGGGTTTGAACACTACATAGTTCACTGTACTTAAACTTTAAGCATATATATCCTCGTATATCTCCAGTCTAGAAAACCGAAATTAAAGGCCGTGAAGATTTGTTGCACTGACCACACAACACCCTCTATCTGCTAAAGTTGGCACTAACTTTGCTGACAAGTGGCGGTCGCTTTGTCAGTATAGTTTGCTTGTGGACTGAAGCAATGGAGTTTTTTTGTATCCTTGTATACATTTTCATTGTTCCTCTAACTTAGTTAACATTTTCCAGAGCGAATATTCGATATTTGAGCAATTGTAGTAATTTTTCTGTTTTAACTTCAGTTCTAAAGATTTCGAAGTAAATGTATTGTAACATGTTGCGCGACTGAGAACCCCCCTCCCCCCTCCTCTCCACGGNCGCGGTGACGTAACGCGCAACGCTAACGTAACCGTAATCAACGTCCTACTGTGACGTGGCACTCATTACGCCACAGGCAAGCACTGCAGCTATATAAGTGGATGCACAGTGCGTATCGACGAGTTCGAGTTCCAGTGTGGCTACCGCCGAAGACATTCCGAGTTATAAAGTAACAGCCAGCCGACTACAAGTTGGAGTATAGCAGCCGTCGCGGAAAGAAGATCCGGACGTGTGTGTAATTGTGTAATTGGGAGCGTGTGATACAGTGATACAAAGCTCCCCTACGGTAAACGTGTAGACTACTGAAGACAGAGTGAACTGATTTGCGCATAGGGTTATAAGTCGTGAAACCCCGCAACAGTGTCGACAGATTAATGCGCTTAGGGTTATAAAGTGTGAAACCCCGCAACTGTGTGATAATTAATTGTAGCCGTGATTTGTAGACTGTTAAATAAACCCAATTAACCATCTCTACGGCGTCTTCAGTAACGGAAACACGTTACATTGGTGTCAGAAGTGGGATCAGTAACGCAAGACACGTTACAGTATATTAGTATCCAAAGAAATGATCTCATTGAGGTAAATTATGAATGAGATTTTTCATGTGCACATTTCTATTAATTTTATTGAATAACCTCACTATCTTTGTAATATATTGTGACGTGGATGGCGCAACAGGAAGTAGGGGTCATGTGAACTCTGCGGTCTTGCGAGTGACGTCACATATCCCCACCCCTTCCATTATCACGCAACGCTCGGTAAACGCCCCCTCCCCCGTGGAGAGAGGAGCAACTGTGTCAGGCAACCATTGCCGAGGTGTTACTGCCAAGGGATATCGCGGTTACTACTCAGCCGTAAACAACTCTTGAGAGCGTTGCTAGCAACACTTGTAAACACGGCATCAGGCAACAGCGGTACCTATCACATAACTGTTTTCTGTGTTGTCCGTGCCGAGGCTAAATAAGGACCAGCGACCACTATTCAGTAGTGAGCAATTAGTTAGTGAGTAGTGAGTGAGTAGTGAGTAACGAGTAACCAGGCAGTTGCAGTCTAGCATTTGCCGGAGTGAGTTGTGATACTGCTGATGGCAGTAACTGTGTAATTGTAAATTGTGTGAATGTAAGAGCAAATGTGCAGTAAATTCGCTATATCCAATACAGCATGAAGTTATTTGTCGCGTTATACACCCAACATGTGACAATTTGGTGTCAGAATTGTTTACGAACTTGAACACGCCTCGAGGAATAGTTGAATTTACGAGTACATTGAGTGTTATTCTGCAAAGAAAAAAAGAAAAGAAGAAGAAGAAAGAAAATGTTCTCACAGCAGATGATGGAACTACTGCTGAGGGAAATCAGAACTAGCCAGGAAGAAATGGTGGCCAAACTGGATGCCGACTCGAAATCCTGGCGAGAAGAATTGGCTGCAGAAAGAAGAGCTATCGAAGCAAGGATGGAAGCGATCAAAGCAAGGATGAAAGCCATGCAAGAAAATAGGGGCACCAGCCACAAGAAAATGGCTGCCGACACCAAACCAAAAAGAGACATGGAGACAATTGCTTGCCAAGAATGCCAAGAAATGGAGGCACATCTAGAAGAAGAAAAGCTGACCTCAGTGGACGGGAAACCTGAGACAGCAGAAGAAGAAGAAGAGATCCCTGTAGATGACGCCGTAGTGAAACCGGTCAAAGGATGGAAGAAGCGGCATAAGGGCAAAAAGCAAGCTGCAGGGCAACTTGGGGAGCCGAAGAAACTGACCCGAGGAATTTGTGGATCCTGGATGGAGTTGACCAACACTGACCGGAAGGTGTCTCACCATGCAGCCGTGGCACTACGCAGGAGAGATGCCTTCAAGAAGGAAACTACCCAGGGAACGTTCGGATGCTGGAGAAAGGAATTGACCGTCGACAATTGTCTACACCGTCTCTGCAAGCAGTCTTATGACGAGTCTCAACCATTGCGAGGTGCCCATAGCAGCATTGAGAAACCAGCAGTGGGCACTCTTGTGCCACGGTCTCGTACCAGCAAGTGGCGGGAAGACCAGGAGGAACGACGATGTCAGCAAGTGCAGACCACACTTCAAGTGCTGTTACGTTGACATAAGGAACTTCAGAAGAAAGACATGATCAAGGATTGGACCTTGCAGAAGGGTCGACCCCCTCCAAAACGAAAAAGAAGCAGAGCACAGAAGAGGAGCCAGTAAATTAGAAACTCCGGCTTCCCCAGAGAAAGTGAAGGAGTGAATGTGATACAACTGGATCTTCCGGCAAGTTAACAGGAAACTGCTCGAGACAAGCTAGTCTTAAGAGGGGAGTGGATGTAACGGACGGAGAATAGTCGCTGCAAGAAAAGTAGCCGAAACAACAGGAGACACAGCAACAGGAAGAAAAAGGAACGGGGATGTACCGTTAGGCTGTTCAGGACGAACAACCTTTAGAAGGGAGCAGTGTGATGTGGACGGCGCAACGGAAAGTAGGGGTCACGTGAACTCTGCGGTCTTGTGAATGACGTCACATACCGCCACCCCTTCCATTATCACGCAACGCTCGGTAAACACCCCTTCCCCCGCAGTGACGTAACAGAGGAGCAACTGTGTCAGGCAACCATTGCCACGGTGTTGTTACCAAGAGATACCCAGCTGTAAACAAAGCCCGACAGCGTTGCTAGCAACACTTGTAAATACGGCGTCAGGCAACAGCGGTACCTATCACATAACTGTTTTCTGTGTTGTCTGTGCCGAGGCTAAATAAGGAGCAGCGAACACTGTTCAGTAGTGAGTTATTAGTTAGTGAGTAGTGAGTAACGAGTAACCAGTCAATTGCAGTCTTGTATTCGCTGGAGTGAGTTGCGATACTGACGATGGCAGTAACTGTGTAATTGTAAATTGTGTGAATGTAAGAGCGAATGTGCAATAAATTTGCTATGTTCAATATGGCGTGAAGTTATTTGTCACGTTATACACCCAACACGTGACAGTATTTTGTGAAGACTAAGTCATAACCCAAGTTGTACTACTGTAGAATCCTGATTTAAAGTTTATTGTTGTAACATTTTCCTTCATTTTGAGTCAAATTATTTTTAGTTCTAAATCAGTTCTGTGAATTTATGTTTTTTCTTCTAATTTTTTATTTTAGCACTGAAATTGGTTGCCTCTGGAGAGAAATGTTAAGTGGGTATTCTATTGTACAGAATTCTGTTTATTGATATTTACCATAACATTGTATGTTGCTCTGTGTCATTGTAGATCAATTTTTGTCTCTTGTTTGTTCATTTGTTTGATTTAATTATTGAAATTACTTCATAAGGCTTTAGCCCTCTGCTTTTGAATGGTACCCAATTGATGTTTAACTAAAAATTGTTAATGGTTTTAAAATTACTTGCACCTGGGATTGTAATCTTCTGGGTTATGACATATTGTAGTCTGGTAGGTGGTTTGAAACATTTTGAAGAAATGTGTTTCCTCAGTCTTCACTTCTGCCCTGAAGATGGAGGCAGTATGTTCTTTGAGAACATGGGTAACTACCTATCAGACTACATGGTGTCATAACATAGAAGACCAGAGTCCATGAAATCTTCACTGCTGGGAAAGCCTCAAAACTCATGTTTGCACTCCTCTTCATAACACTGGCAATGCTTTATCTTTCACTTAGATAATTTAGTTTCATAGGAAATAGTGGCTGTTTGTTACCATTTCTGGGGCATTTGGAGTATCTTTTATCTATATTATCTTTTTGTCACAAAGGTTTTGGGTTCTCCACATTTTAGAATGCTGAGGAGTTAAAAATAACAGTTTTTGATAAAAGCAACCTGT